AATCGCATGTGAAACGTCTCCATGGACGGGTGCCGAGTGGAGATCCAGAATCGCTCGTTCTTCCTGAAGACCCGTACCTTGATCTGCCGGACAAACCGAACGGGTTCCGCAATGCCAGCAAACACTAAATCGGCCGCTATTGTCAATGACAGCTTGTCTCCTGAGACGTGGCAAAGACAAACAACAGGGAGAATGATGTGGGTTGTATCAGGTACCATAATTTATATGGGTTGTATCAGCTAGCCTAAATGCGTGTGAGGCTGGGAAAGGTCACTGTATTCGTGTATCACTGGCTGAGATATGCAGTCGTATAATACATACTCAGGATAAGCTGCGCATCGTGTCCCCCAGGAACTGAGTGAGCGCTTCATCGAGAAACTAAACCAGCCGTTGTTACCAAGCAGTAGAATCAGACATGGAATGCTATCTGAAAACGTGACCCCCCCCCCCCCCCCCTCCAAACACACACATACACCATTGACCATTTGACGCCCATCGCCGGAGGCGATGATAGCGATGCTACGGTAGAAGCCAAAGCAGCTTGTGCTGGCACACACACACACACCTTGACCTTGATCTTGCCCATTGCGTACACAATGATAGCGAATGTCGGAAAGTTCAAGTGAGAACACGAGCGCAGAACTTGGCATGTCGTTTACACACACACACACACACACACACACACACACACACACACACACACACACACACACACACACACACACACACACACACACACACACACACACACACACACACACACACACACACACACACACACACACACACACACACACACACACACACACACACACACACACACACACACACACACACACACACACACACACACACACACACACACACACACACACACACACACACACACACACACACACACACACACACACACACACACACACACACACACACACACACACGAGGCTACGTACTGTTCGGTGCCAAAGGCAGCAAGGACAAACAATGCCACGCATGCTTGTATGCTTGTGCTGATAGCTGGTAAATGCACCATTCAAAGGTCTCCACACATATGTAAGCATCTTCCTCACCATACGGAAACCCATACACAGAGGAAGGTTGGTTTCAACAAGTGTTCACCAACATAGGAACAGCACTACCAGGCGGCACCACCACCACCACCACCACCACCACGCACCGACACTATTGCCGACAGTACCCACACCACTGCCGACAGTAGCAGCACTGCATCTCGCCACCAGCATCAGCAGCACAGCATTCGCTACAGCACGACCACCGCTATGCAGCAGCAGCAGCACGACCACCGCTGACAGCAGCAGCACCCCAGCCCGTTACAGCACCACAACACAACCACCACCTCCAGCAGCAGCATCACCCCAGCTCGTTACAGCACCACAACACAACCGCCACCACCAGCAGCATCACCCCAGCCAGTTACAGCATCAGCAGCACAACAACTGCCATGCTGCAGCACCACAGCTCGTTACTGCACCACAACACGACCGCCACCATGCTGCATCACCCCAGCCAGTTACAGCATCAGCAGCACAACCACCACCACCGACAGCAGCATCACCACAGCCAGTCACCGCACCAGCAGCACAACAACTGCCATGCAGCATCAGCATCACCACAACGCAGCATTGCTACCTTTGGGCGTCTCTTGATTCAGACTGGCATGGTTGGGATCGGCTGGGTCCCATTGGCCGGTGATGTAGTAGGACTTGCCATCATCTGCTGCCTTCATTTGCACCTAAGCACACCAGTCACCCGTAGAGAAGTAAACAAACAAGACACATTTTAAAACACAGAAACTCTCCTCCTCCAAAGTAAGTAAAAGTGGGGAGGCTTCCTGCAGTTTCGTAAACAGTTATACTAAGAGTAGAGCCCACACGCTCTCTTCCATTAACACTGCAATAGTTCCACCCATTTCACGATAATTATTCCAACGTTTCGGCAAATTGCCTTCATCAGGTCCTCCCGTGATGCGCTTTAAAGCCGACCATTGCTACCCTCGGTAGCCGTTACTCACACCAATAAATTATTGGTGTGAGTAATGGCGTATTGGCAAAAATCTCAAACAGCGAACGGGGTCACGGGTAAAACATTTCCTTGTGAAAAGCTTTTTCGCCTATCAAAGGCTCTTCAGAGACAAGACACATGTTCTAGCCTTCCTGTGACCAAAAAGTCCTTTAGTAATCTTTACCCCATGATGATGGTGTTTAGAACGACAATACGTTGGGAAAACTATCTTAAATTACTAACTTTCTTACTGGTTTGAAACTCGGGTATTGAGCCAATAATAAAAGTAGAAAGGAAAAAGGACATAATGGAAACGAGTTAAGGGTAACTCTCCACCACTGTAACTAGATACTATATACAGTCAGAAAGTGCAACAACTAGGCACAAAACTTTCTTACTGGTGGTAACTGTTCACCACTCTTAGGGCATGAGCGAGTGAGCGAATACCGAGCACGTGCGGTCCGAGTGGGCGTGATCGTCTGGCCGAATCCAGAGTAGGTGTTGCTTGGATCTACCATTCACACCGCCGGAGGATGATGAGGCAAGGGAACTAACATTACACCGGCCACAACCTGATTCGGACACGCCCGCACACTTCAACGTGTTCTCGCTCTTCCGAGTCTCATCTGATCTTCGATGTGACATCGAAAGAATCAATAAGCCCTGCAGAAGCTCTGCCATTCCCAGCACGTTGAGCACACTGGGTGCACACCTTGCGATAAATCTGTTCTTCGCGTGGCTGGCAAACTCGAATTAGCCGAAGCACCACAACGGCCGCAAGCCGAGCAGCTCGAGCAGCGGTAAATACGCACGCAGAAGAAAACGCAGAAGGAAACGCAGCACCAGCAGCAGCAACAGCAGAAGCAATGACTCACATTGTCAATAGGGTGCATCTGGGCCTGACTGACATCACGCCCAGCGGCAATGAGAACACCGAAACAGCGCTGTAGTACAAGAGGCACCTCCTGTGTTTGTGCCAGGATTAGCCCAATCTGTGCAGTAGTCACCACAAGTATAGTATAGTATGCAGACACAAATAAATACATAACATTTAATATAATTAATATAATTTTTATTTCCATTGCTATCAGGTTCGGCCTCATTTCCTCTGTGCTGCGCTGAAGAGTTCAAAAAGAACGAAACAGCATGCTGTCCGCAGATTGAGTATTTCGCTCCTGCTCTTGTAGCAGTTGAGCACTCTTGCGTGGGGTAGTGCCTTTGCTGTTTGCGTTATGCAGAGCTCACTGACTTGTCAGTTTGAGCACTCTGGCAAGGTACGTTCGGGCCTGATGGGAAATTTTTATTTCCATTGCTATCAGGTTCGGCCTCATTTCCTCTGTGCTGCGCTGATGAGTTCAAAAAGAACGAAACAGCATGCTGTCCACAGATTAACATTTAATATATGCAGGGGGACACACACACACACACGCACACAAATCCAAGAATTTCCAAGCACGATTTTGGGAGAGAATCGCTCAACTAAAAACTCACCTGTTTGGGGATACTTTGGCGTAGCTTGAAGAGATCTTTATCGCGAGCAACACATATGTATTGGCCTTTACTGTCTTCTTCGCCAATGTCGATGAAAAACTGAAATTTGAAATCAAGAGTTTTCAGACGACCTTCGGTTGCAGCCAAAACACGTTGCTATTGGAGTGAAGCAAGATGAAAGAGAAACAAAGGGAAGAATGGATGACTGAGCGGACACATGAGTAACATGAGAGAGAGAGAGAGAGAGAGAGAGAGAGAGAGAGAGAGAGAGAGAGAGAGAGAGAGAGAGAGAGAGAGAGAGAGAGAGAGAGAGAGAGAGAGAGAGAGAGAGAGAGAGAGAGAGAGAGAGAGAGAGAGAGAGAGAGAGAGAGAGAGAGAGAGAGAGGGAGGGAGGGAGAGAGAGAGAGAGAGAGAGAGAGAGAGAGAGAGAGAGAGAGAGAGAGAGAGAGAGAGAGAGAGAGAGAAAGAGAGGGAGGGAGAGAGCGAGAGTGAGAGAGTGTGTGTGTGTGTGTGTGTGTGTGTGTGTGTGTGTGTGTGTGTGTGTGTGTGTGTGTGTGTGTGTGTGTGTGTGTGTGTGTGTGTGTGTGAGAGAGAGAGAGAGAGAGAGAGAGAGAGAGAGAGAGAGAGAGAGAGAGAGAGAGAGAGAGAGAGAGAGAGAGAGAGAGAGAGAGAGAGACTCTTTCTGAAGCGGCGAACAGCAGTAGCTGCCCTGACTCACTCTTCCACACACCATCACCCATCATACAATTACACAATGCCAACTGCACCAGCATCTACCCAGGAGACGCGTGGATACAGGCACAGGCAAACGGATACTCGCGCACGTCCACCTACCCGCTGTGTGTTGTGCTTGAACGCAGTGCCGAGAAGACGGAGCATGCGGCGAATCTAAGAACATAGAAACACAAAGACACACACGCGCATGCGCAAACACACACACACACGCGCATGCGCAAACACGCACACACACACACACACACACACACGGATATGGTACACTGTTGACGGGGCGTGCCCTGTGCAGCGCCAGACCTGCCAATACCAGGCTGTGAACTGGCGCAGGGTGCAAACGTGAGTGACTGACTCGATCCAATCTCATTGGGCAGCACTGTATATACTATACAGTGTCACCTGTCTAAGACGACCGCTCAAGGGACCTTCAAAATATGGTCTCTGTTACCAGGTGGTCTCCTCATCCAGGGTTTTGGACTGGAAATACAGTGCCATCTGTCTAAGGCGACCGCTCAAGGGACATTCAAAATGTGGTCTCTGTTACCAGGTGGTCTCCTTATCCAGGGTCATTTGACTAGAAATAGCATTCCTTGGGTCCTGGTTGCAGTGGTCTTCTAGGACATGTGGTTGCCTTATCAGAGTGGTCGCCTTGACAGCTTTTACTGTACAGACAGGTCTACTGTTGTGGGTATTGAAAGCTGCGAAACCTAGCAAACACAGCGCACATCTGCAGTAACGTGTGTGCGTGCGTGAGTGTGTGCACGTGTGTGTGTGTGTGTGTGTGTGTGTGTGTGTGTGTGTGCGTGTGTGTGTGTGTGTGTGTGTGTCCTTTTCCTGCACCTTGTCCTCACCCACTTACTGAGGTGTGGTGAGCCCATAAGTGGGGTCATTTTCAAGTCCACCCAGAGTTTTGGGGATTTCAGGGGGTGTCGGCCGTTGGGCGCTTCAATAGCCAATTGAGCCTTCTTTCCAAGATTCCTTTTGAGTCTCTCTCCCCTCTTCCGGGGAGACCCATGTGACCAGTTTTGGCAGTGAGCACCAAGTACAAGTGTGTGTGTGTGTGTGTACGTACACGCATGTATACGTGCGTATGTACACACACACACACACACACACACAATACACCTGCGGGCACACACACACACACACACACACACACACACGCATGTGAAGCCGCATGCAAGCATGTGCGCACACACACACATGCACACACACACACAGTGACACACACACACACATGCACACACACACACACACACACACACACACACACACACATGCACACACACTCACACGCACACACACACACCCACACACACACACAGTGACACACACACACACACACATGCACACACACACATGCACACACACACACATACACACATACACTTACACATACACACACACGTCCGTACGGCGGCGGCGGCGTAACATGATCCTGCCACCACCGCGCCCACTCACTTTATCCTCCTCGTCGGCTTTCAGCACGTGACAATAAAACACGCCGGACCCCTGGCGGTGTGCCACGGTGAACGCCATGCAGTCTCTTGCGTTGTTCTCGCGCGTGCCGCGCGCACAGAACAGCACGGAGCGGATCGGGTAGTTGGTCAGCTCCAGTCCGCTGTCTCGGTCGATGAGTCGCACGGAGCCATCACTGGTCACCGGAACACTGACCAGCACTGACATGGACTCCTGCGGCTGCTTGCGGAGCATGTTCATTGCACGATTCGCTTCCGTCTGGCTAATGGGCGCGTCCACTGTGCAGTGTCCACAGTACGTCAGACCCTCAAATAACTGCTTGTCACCCCCACCACCACCTCCCGACGCACTGGCACCATTGCTGCTGCTAGCCAGGGCAGCAGCGATATCCGACGAGCGGGCCTGCGCAGCCAGCTCAGTCATGGGAGAAGTGATCTCTCCTGTCGGGCTGCTCATGGGCATGCGATCCGACCTTTGCCTGCCGTCCAAGACAGCGGACGACTCCGAAGAAGGGTGTCCTTTCGTTGCAACGGGAGCCTGCATTGGCACACTACTGCTCCGCCTACGATTCGGAGACGAGAACGGAGCAACGAGCCTTCTTGTAGTGGCTCGAATGATGTCCACGCTCTCCGTTCTGCTTACTGGGGACTTCTTTTCCATTTCTTTCTGGCTGGCTTCAGAAAAAGCTTTCTTTCTCAAAGCAGTCCATTATTTTGTAGATCCTGTGTGCATGGTGTGTTCAGTCATCATCAGTGTTCTCTCGCATTATTTTTTTGTCTTGACATGACGTCTTGATCAAAAGTCTTGACGTTCCCGCCGAATCTGTGGATTCTCGCGGGTGATTTGTTGCGAAACATCATGATTTGCATGCAGGGGACATGCGAATTGATACGGGTAGCCTTTGCAAAAAAAGGACACCAGAAGTCGTGTACCAGCTACAAAAAAAGTGTGTAGACGCCAGGGAGTAGTATAGTACGAGACAATAATGTATGTAATCAAGCAGGGAGTAGTACAATACGGTATTGTACTACTCCCTGTAATCAAGCACGCTCAGGACAGGAGGTCATGCTGGCTGAATCTTGCCCGAGCCTGCAGCCCAAGGGCCGTAGGCCCGAGGGCTGCAGGCAAGGGCAAGATTCAGCCATCATGACAGACATGACCGTCGACAGAGCGTGCTTGATTTGATTTCTTACATCGCGAAGCAACATATTAGGAAAGGTCAAAGGTCGAAAGGTCGAAAAATGTTTCCCGAAATGACGTCAAACGGTCCGAACATTCCCGAAATGACGTCAAACGGTCCTGAAACTCCCGAAATGACGTCAAACGGTCCTGATGGCCTGATTATGCCCGCGGCGGGAAGATCGCCTATTGGCCATGGCCCCGGCAACGATCACGTGTCATGTAAGAAACCGGTATTGTACGAGTACTACTCCCTGATTCGTAGATATCTACGCGCAGATCTCCTGCATGATTGCTGCCAGTGCCACCGCGCTGTGCTAGTGGCAGCGGAGGCACGCATCCAGTGAACCTGCACAGTGCAGTGATCCTACTGAGTGACAGACTCTGTAAATACTGTATCTGATGATTCGTTTTATGTGTTGATTCTTCACAAAATGATGTATGTAATCAAGCACGCTCAGGATCTAGGAGGTCATGATGGCTGAATCTTGCCCGAGCCTGCAGCCCAAGGGCCGTAGGCCCTAGGTAGGGATTTCAGTCACGTGATCTGCGGGGGCAAAAGTACCTTGACACGCATGCATGCTTTTTGAATGCCAGGCATGGCACAGCTCAGCGCGGGGTCTTCGGCGTAGATTTTAGGTAGGGAAAGTGAGTTTATCGCTATTTTTATTGGCGCACCGTTGAAGAGTAGGTTTCAAGCTTTCGTTTGGTGCCTCACACGGCGAATTCGTGCCGATATTACGCATCTCGATAGATTCTTGTAGATTTCAAAGTCGCTTTTGAGGTGTTTGCCTTGGTTCCACGCTCAAGCGGCAGTCAGAATCAGATTTTACGGCATCGATTTAGTCTAGGTAGGTTCCTTCAGACGGCATGAAGGGTCGCGCTCGGTCGCGGAAATTGTTTTGAAGTTGAACGCCATGACACAGTATGGAGGTGGAGAAGAAAGACGATTAACTTCCGTCTTCCTCTGTGTTCATGGTGTTGTCCCAGGCAGTTGAGGAATGGCCTAGTAGTAGTTGAACTCTCGTTGAGGGCGAGAAGCAAAAATGATACCAAGTAGAGTTAGCATAATTTGATTTTGCTAGTTGCAGTCGTGGATGGAAAGGATTTCGAGACGATGTGAAAATTGCCAGGAACAAAATCGGGCGTATCAGAGAGTGGAGAAAAAATTTGCTGAAGAACAAGGCAAGTGACGACCTCAGTGAATTACTAAGTCATCCTTTTGAACTGCCTCTCAATCAAATTGTAAAGCAGATAACCACACACTGAACGAAAAATCATATATTGTGTCTGATTCTTGTCCAAGAAAGAAACATTGAACTGCAAGGAAAATTGTAGGCTGCAGGGATTGCAAATTGCATGAATTGTATAAGTTTGGAAAATTATATCAGTGTTATCAAATTTCCACACCTGAGCAGTCGTACGTGCTGAGGTGTGGACATTTGCAACAGTTCATGTCCATGCTGGACCAGCCGTTGATGTCAGTGCTGAAGCAACAGTTGATGTTGATGCCGGCGCAGCAAATGATGGCGCTTTGGAGCCCGCACCCGGCATAGCAGGTCTTGACCCTGTGTGTGGCACCAGACTTGATCTTCCGTGTGTCATACAGGTGCGTGGTTGTACCAGGCTGGTTTTTTACTGAACTTATCTCTTATAAATACTCACCGCTGGCTGGCTTCTGTGTACAATACTCAATAGCCTCTAGTATGGTCGTTGTGCGGCTAATGTGCGTCTCTGACTCGTTGCAGCCGAAAACGGGCACTGTGTGACATCAGAGCTTGCTGTCTGCTCCTCTAGTTTCCCACATGCATACTATATAACTTAAATGTTGTGTTTGCCTTATTTCTGTCATATTCCACCTATTACCATGTTGAATTATGCGTGAAATATACTGTTGCTAGGGCCGTTGCTAAGGACGCCATTGTTGCGGTCATTTGGAATTTTGAAAAAAACTTTTATCTTCCGTTCCGTCACAGCCAGGGCCATCCTTGATCCAAGTTTGGCCACGATCAGATGAAGTTTATTTGTTGCTATGGTGTTGCTAGGGAGTATGGGAATTCCATTTTGTGCCATCCTGCAGATCCAATTTGTATGTGTGTTCGTCAAGGTTGGTGCGCTATGTTTGAATGCTCATAACTTTGGAAATACTGCTTGGATTCCGTTCAAATTTTCTGTGGACAGTCCTTACACATAGATGCTTCAGAAAAACTTGTTAGTTGGAGCAAAGCGCTGCTCAGAAAAAACCGCCTGAAATCCCTACCCTAGGGCTGCAGGCAAGGGCAAGATTCAGCCATCATGACAGACAGAGCGTGCTTGATTTGATTTCTTACAGCGCGAAGGAACATATTAGGGAAGGTCAAAGGTGGAAAGGTCGAAAGGTCGAAAAATTATTCCCGAAATGACGTCAAACGGTCCGAACATTCCCGAAATGACGTCAAACGGTCCTGATGGCCTGATTATGCCCGCGGCGGGAAGATCGCCTATTGGCCATGGCCCCGGCAACGATCACGTGTCATGTAAGAATGTGTTATTTTGCCCGTACAAGAGGCTCGGCCGGGGATCGGATAACCAAGCTACAAAAAAAAAAAAAAGAAGCCAAGGGTGCGTTTGGTTGGTACGATCTAGAACAGGATCGAGCAGCTGGTGCACATGGAGCAGCCTAATGCCAACCAAACGGTACTCCAGAAACAGAGCATATTTTTGTGAAAAGTATGCCAAACTTGGTGCATTCTTCAAAATGTGTATGGGTCACCATGGTCACTGTGTACGGTACGACGAGTCCAACCCAAAAGCGTATGCACGTGATCATTTGGGACCAAAATCGATGTTCCCGCCAGGTTTCACTGTGAAAAAGTGAAACTGCTCGGTCTGCTCCGGCCTCGAGGCCGGAGCAAGCAGAACATGTTCTGGCCGACCCAGAACAGGTGCAGTCCCAACCAAACGCGCTGTTCTGGTGAATCCTGTTCTAGTTCGTACCAACCAAACGCGCCCCTAAACGCAACGGCCCTGGCCCTACAACTTACAAGTACGCGTACACGCATGGGATTTCAAGCACGATTTCGCGCGGTCGGCCATCGCGATCTGCATCGACTCGACTCGTGCGATCCGCGCTGGCTTGACCATTATTATTTTTATAATGTGACCGCCATATTGCAAAAAAGACAGTTTTGCACCTCAAGACCAAAGTAACAACAGTTCAGATGAGACTTCAGTACTATTTTGCAAGAAAGAGAGAAATCCAAGTGAAGAGCAGTTTGGGAGAGCTTGTGTAAAACCTTCTAGTACCATGGAGTCAACTCAACATTCTTCCTCGCAAAGGTGCTGTATAGCCTGAGTAAAGTAGTAATGAGTCGTGGACAGATCCTTGGTGTCGTTAGATGACTAGGAGAATAATTGCTGAGTACATTCTGTTGTTCACTTTTTGTTTATTTTCTTGATCACCGTTCCCAATGGTCAGTGAAGAAAGGTGTTGATGTGGAATGGGACACGCTGAAGTTTTACCCCTGTATTGTCTCACTTTGCATATTGCGAAATTACTGTAAAGCTAATCCAAGCTGTGGGCTGTGATTTCGTTGACTGAGTATCTTGACCTTTTCTGAGAAAACTACTCAATAGGATCTTACTCATTTACTCACTTATCAGAAAGCAGTTTAGGTGCTAGATGTGCAGTCTTCTTGTTTGACTGGGTCTTATGATTTTATTTGTGCTATGGACGCTGTTGATGCAGTCTGACCGAAGCACAGCAACAACAACACTCTATGTTGGCTGCGTCTGACATGCCCGCATTAGCCATGTCCTCATCGTCTGAGCCTCGTGCTCTGTCTGCATCCATTGCCGAGACCACTGCTGGGCTGTCAGTGATGAATAATGGAGACAACAGCGGTGAGAGGTCCTCAGCAATGGGAGAATCTAGCTCTAGCATCGTTTCTCCCAGCACAGCTGTTCCTGAGGTGGGTGATGTGCTGTTGTGCCGTGTATTCTTGTGATGTGTTTCGAAATTTCATTTTGAAATAGGAAAATGGGAGTTTCGATGGTTCGACATCGTTGAATTTTTTTCTTGTCAAATCATGACTTTCGCTGGCCTTGTGCATTGATGGCGGTCGGCGTGGAGTGTCAATTTATTTTACTCAGAGGTGATCCATAATGCCTCGGTATACTAGTACCTTTCCCGAATAAGTCGGGGCTGTGGCTGAGCTCAGCTATCCTATGTTTCTCGGTGTTGCCTATCGCTTTTCACAACGACGATGGCAGTGCAAAGTGCAATATGGTGGACTGCTTGCGTGGTTGGGAAATTGTAACAAATGGAGAAGAAAACGTAGCTGTTGTTCTTTTGTTGTTGCTGTTACGGATGGCCATTCTAGACCACGTGTCGAGTTCCTTTGATGTGATAGTTTTCAGTCTGTTGTGAGTCGACGCTCACCTTCGTACTTCAAAGTAAAATTGTCACCTGTGTGAGTGGCTCAGCAGCCCCCCCCCTGCATGAAAATAGATGCTGAGTGTGTTGGTAGAGCGGAGTAGACCAGTGTAGAGTGCAAAGTGATTTGCGGAGTCTATGTGTATGGTACTACACGTTGCTCTACTTTATCTTTGGTAACTGGCTTCACTTCACCTTTGCTGTTGAACCCACTAACTCCAGCTGTGTTTGTACTGAACTGAGCTGATCGGCCTTATGTTGTTAAAAGGTTGTGGACACGGATTCTATACATTTGCTGTTGGACCCACTTACGTTTGTACTGGACTGATCTGAGCTGATCAGCCTTATCTCCAGCTGTGTTTGTACTGAACTGAACTGAACTGATCAGCCTTATGTTGTTAAAAGGTTGTGGAGACGATTCTATAGTCACGTATCCCCCTCCCCCGTGTATGGTTTTGTTTTGCACTGCTGTGTGTGTATGGGGGGGGGGGGGGGGGGGCATGTGTGGATGTACTTAACTTTAACGGAGCTGATCAGCAGTTGGTCATGTTTTCTTTGTTTTGCATCATGACATTGTGTGTGTGTGTGTGTGTGCGTGTGTGGTGCAGATGGGTGTGCAGGTATGTGTGTGTGGGGGGGGGGGGGGCTGTGTGTGTGTGGTGCAGGTGGGTGCGTGGGTGCGTGGGTGTACTGACCTGAACTGATCATCAGTTGGTCATGTTTTCTTTGCTTTGCATTACGACAGTGTGTGCGTGCGCGCGTGCATGCTCGAGTGTGAGTGAATGGGTGTCATTCGCAAATTGAGACTGTGCCCTGACTCTACATGCTTACTGTAAGACATGAACATATAACGAGGAAGTAAATCTAACATTTTAACGGGTGACATTTCTTCGTCATAATAAGTTCTGTTGAGGTTGCAATGCCACATACGTGATATGTGCGGATATGCCTGAAGACTGCAAGATTGTCATCGTATGTTCTCGTTAACCTATGGATTTTGGACAATGGTTAAATGTGCGACTCGTTATAATAACATGTCTTACAGTATGGGCTACACCTGTGTTGAGAGTCCACTCAAGTACAGGTACATGCATGCTGATGATGTGTCACCACTGTTTCAGCCCTGTGTTGACCACTCCAGAACAGCCCCGTGTACCGGAGACCACATACCGTATATTCTCTATTATAAGCACAGGTCTCCATTACTAGCACAGTCTCTAATACTAGCACACTGTGAGCACCTTTCGAAACATTATAAGCACAGTCTCTATTATTAGCACGGTTTTGGTGGAAATCAATGCTGCACGCATGATATCTAGCATGTATTTCTTCTTGCTCTGTATGGATGTATTGGTTGAAAAAATATAAGCACGGTCTCCAATATAAGCGCGGTCTCCAATATAAGCACGGGGTAGAGGGGTGTTGAAAAAATAGAAGCACGGCGCTTATAATAGAGAATATACGGTATATATATAATGTGTGTGCGTGTGTGTGTGCGTGCGTGTGCTTGCTCGGTGCATGCTGGATGTACACCTGTGTACTTTTGATAGGGGAAGAGCAAGGGTAGAAATACCAACCAGCTGGCGTTTATCCATAAGGTTCTGACCAGACATATGTGGAAGCACAAATACTGCTGGCCGTTCACCACGCCGGTCGATCCCGTCTCTCTCAGGATTCCGGTTAGTTTTGTGTGTGTACGTGCGTGTGTGTGTGCGCGTGTGCGTTACTGGCTCACCATAGTGAATCATGTCAGGTATCTAACATGACATGAACAGGTGTCAAGTACATGTATAGTAATATACCGTTGACCCCCGTGCACTGTGTCGCTCTCTAGCTGAGGGTGCTTTGCAGCTCAAGGCTGTCAAGCGCTGCACGCCCGTGTACTAAAGCAACACGAAATATCCGACTTGCCTTTGTGAGCTGTGCACAGTTTCGTTTACGGCCTATTCGTCTACGCGCGCGCTGCCTCGCATTGTGCACAGCAGTGCATGCGTCGGTTCAGCGCCGTATCTCGACGCATACGCCAAGTCGCTTCACGGGTAGCAATTCGGCATGGGGCGGGTGGGCAGGTCGACGGTACTTAATGCTGGGCGCTGCTACGTTGATAAGTGGCTCACTTGGGTTTTTAAAAATCCGGATTGTTTCGCCCTTGTGCAACCGTACGGACAAATGCACCTACCGCATTTTGCCGATTACAAGTTGACCTCGGTTATCAGTCCCCAACACTTGGGGCCTCGATTTACTGGTCCAATGATCAATAGGATCAAGAGTGGGCGAGCCCATAGGGCGACTACCTCTTCTTTAAAAAAAATTTTTGTTGACTTATGACTTACTCACCTCACACCGTCTAGGCGCTGCATCTGCGCCTTAATCCTAGGGTGGTGGCGTTCCTGCGGATGTGGAAAACTCGGCCTCCAGCCGAGTCTCCCGCAAACCATGATAATTTTTATTTTTATAAGGCCATCATTTTTTTATATCTATGTTTCGCGTTCCACAATCATAATGCGAGAGGTGGAAAAAAATAAAAAAGTTACAAAATAAAAAGACTCATCAGCGGTACATGTGCGTGTATAGCACTGTAGATCGATCTACATGTACATAGCACAATAGCTCGTGCACAGTGTACATAATTCGAAAGGAAAATCGTACATCGAAGCACAAAATCTGGGTTGTCAGCATGAGTCAATATTCACTTTGGACAGAGGAGGCACCCGTTGGTGCACATGCTTCGCTGGGTTATTGTACTCAGCCTTCAGCAGCGGTGCGAAGAGCTCCGGAACAACGCATCCTCTCAGCTTGAGGCGATCGATGCGGTCGGGTGTAAGCTCGTAGAATACTGCTCGCAGATGGCTAACAAACGATTTACCAACGCTGGCCTCGAGGCCATTTCTGAATCCCAGCTTCGCCATATGCAACCAGTCCACACTGATGACTCGGATGATCGTACACTCATTGGTGCACTGTGCATGTTCGATTTTTTTTCCCGAAAAAAAAATCAACAACAAAATGCGTGCGGACGACGCGAAACCTAGATATAAAAAATAATGGCCTGACCGAAAACACGGTAGCCGAAATGGTCAAACAGGCTCGACGGTTGAGTGTACCTCCAGAGCCTTGGGCACATGTTGTATTAAATGAATAAGTAATATTCAACTCGGATGGTGAGCCAATTAGATTATGGTGAAAAAGGAGAAGGACAAAATGTTACGAGTTATGACGAACTGTCCACCAACGTAACCAGATCTTATACAATCAGCGAGTGCGACAAATTGGAACCAAACTGACAAGGAGCACTGAGACATTCGGCGACCTGACACCAAGCTCCAACACTTCTCCAAGGCGCAAACCAACAACCTTCCAACTTTTCACAATACGTAATAACTGTTTGTTACGTATTCTTGTGTGCAGGACTACTTTGACATCATCAAGAACCCAATGGACCTGGGCACGGTTCGCAAACGTATCGAGAAGAACGAGTACAGCAGTGGTGCACAGGCCATTGCTGACATCGAACTCGTCTTCAAGAACTGCCGGCTCTACAATACTCCTGCGTCGGTATGTGTTGCTGTTTGCTTTGGGCATGAAATTGGCTGGCCAGGTCGTGTTTTGTGGAGATTTGTCTTTTCGGCCACTCGAGATGCTTGGCAACAGTGTTCGTTCACCAGAATTTCATTTTGTTTTGTCCTGTTTTGTCTCTTGGTATGCTTACCCTGTGCAACTTCTGTGTGTGTGTGTTTGTGTGCGCGCGCGTGTGTGTGTATGTGTGTGTGCGTGTATGTGTGTGTCCCATATAGTGCAGTGGTATGTCCAGTGATTTCCAATCAAGAGGTTTCGGGTTCGATTCCCGACGATTATGGTCACACACTTTCTTCTCTTTCTCAGACTCCTGACTTTTCTTTCATTCTCCTGGGTGGTTACCAACAGCCAGTCCGGAGTATGTGGTGTGATATGTGTGCAGGAAAAAAAATGAAAAAAGACCGAAAAGTAGGGATTCACTGCCACTGGCCAAAAAGGCCACTTCATAGTTGGGTGGTGTAGACCAGGCTGAATTGTGGGGGTCAATTCTTCAGCCTTGCAAGCTATTGAATGGTGCAATTCCAGCACAAGTTGCTTCCTGCTGTAGTATCGCTATCAGAGGCGATGGGCGTCAAATGGTGTGTGTGTGTGTTCTCTCGCATGCTCTCTCTCTCTCTCTCTCTCTCTCTCTCTCTCTCTCTCTCTCTCTCTCTCTCTCTCTCTCTCTCTCTCTCTCTCTCTCTCGTGTTATACTGTGTGGTTTAGGATGTTCACAATATGGGCAATGCTGTTGAAGACATCTTCAAGAGCAAGATGAAAAGCATGCCTCCAGTGGTGAGTTCTTGCGCTGTCTCTGCTGCTCGTGCTGTATCCGCAAGTTCTGAGCTTTAAGTTACCTTTGACATGCCATCAGGTTCTCTTCGTTTCCGGAATCTGACTGGCCGTAGTACTTTGTCATAAAGCCTGTCTCATAATAGAAGTCTGTTTTGAATACAAGCCTGATTTTCAAGAAACACTGTCGGCGCATAAGCCTGGTTTTAGCGTTGACATACATAGAAATACCTGGTTTGAATAGAAGCCTGATGTGAATAGAAGCCTACACGTGACACCGGCTTCTACAGGAATAAGCCCGGCATTAATACGCGACATGTTACGGTGTTGCTATTGTTGTCGTTACTATGTTCAGGAAGAGGAGCTGGTCCCTGCCAGCGTCAAGCGAGCACGAAAGGCTCGTCAGCAAGCCGAGGAAAAGCGCAAGAAGAAGGAGGCCGCGGAGGAGGCCCTGCGTCAGCGGCAGTTGGCGGCTCAGGCACAGGCCGCCGCTGCACCGAAACGTGAGGGCAGGCGCTGCGGCGTCACTCCGCTGTTTATTGCTGCTGCTGCTGCTGTGGCAATACTTCCGCCGCTCTGTGTGTGTATGTGTATGTGTGTGTTTGTGTGTGTGTATGTGTGTCCGTACCGGTGCGTCTAGTGTCTGCTTCTATCAAAGCAGCGAGCTTTCCTTTTATTCTGGTTACCCCAGCAAGTGTAGGGTGTGCATAGGTAATTGTCTTGGCCGTCCTATTCCGATGTTCTCCTTGTGGTGTAGACCAGGTGTGCAGTGATGGTCGATTCACATGGCTTCGCAGGTTGTGTGGATTAGGCAGTTATCTGGCGCTAGTCCTGATCTGTCTCATTCAGACCTTGTCCGCTATCGTTGCTATAAGGGAAAACCTGTGGGTGCACATTCAGTGCATTTGCAGATTTGCGTGCTTCTCTTGCGACGGGCGTGTACATGGTACATGGTGGTCCGTGTGTGTGTGTGAGTGTGTGTGAGTGGTCAGGGCCAGTAAGTTAGTCAAGGCATGAGTGATTGATTGATAGCACCACTAGTCCTCGGAGTGCAGTCCGAATCAGACGTTAGTGGGGTTTCTGCCCCACGGTATAACGTACCAAAGCACGTATGGAAACCTCGTCGCGCTACGGGATCAAGTTTCACACGGATTTTTTCATGCCTTTTTCCGTGTGAAGCGCGCTTTGCACAGACTGCTCCGTGTGAAAACTGAGCGCGCAGAGTACGTATTGCAGGAAGCTCGAGCATGCTACGCACAGCAGAACCGGCGCAATGTACAACAAATCCGTGGCAAACTTTACTGCAGTTGACACGGAGTTTGGTACGTAGTTCTGTGTAGCAGAAACTCACAACTGGCAGCACCACCGCAATGTGGCTTGTTGCGTGTTTCTTTTTGTCTGATTGCTTTTGTGTCTGCTTTCTCTTGCACGCTTGCATCACCGTCCGCAGCAGCAGCGGCAGCAACAACGGCGATTCCTGGTCTCGCGTCTGGCATTGGAATAACGGCGGCCCGTACAATGGCAGCCGCCGCCGCTGCTGGAGTTTCCGCTCCCGGTCCTGCGGCGGGTGCTGGCAGTGGTGCTGCGCAGGCACCTGTTGTCACCGCCACGCTGTCCGCCAAGACAACTGCAACGTCAGCAGCAGCGGCGGTAGCAGCAGCACAGCTAAAGGAATTCGAGCTGATCCCGGCCGGTTCCCGGCCGGCGCCGCTGGTCAAGGCCCCCTCTCACAAGCCGGCGCGCCAACAAGTCGTCGCGATTGAACAGCCATTGCTGACCATGGCCCAGCAGCAACTCCAGCAGCGTCAGCAGCAGCAGTCATCCTCCCGGCCAGCAGCAGCAGCGGCGGTTGCCGCGGCAGCAGCAGTGCCAGCACCGCTGGCTGCCGAGCCGCCACAGGCAGCATCACTTTTCCCTCGCATGCAGAGCGACTTCCAGTCCCCGGCGGGTTTCCCCACCAATGCCGTTGGCCAGGCACCAAAGAAGGTAGGTTCATGTCGCGACGGAGAGTGGCTTTTGGGCGCTTTGCAGCTCTGCGTTCTTTCTGATTTGAAAATGCAACCTCTTTTGTTTCGTTACTTTTTTGAGGATTAACAGTACGGTAACACCTGTAACTAAAGACCACCGTGACTAGCGACCAGCCTGGTACTACAGACCACTTTGCCAGGCACGGACGGTCTCATATTCACATTATGGTTGTGCAGTGCAAACCTCTAACTAAGGACCACCTGCCACTAGAGACCGCTTTCTCTGGCCCCAAGGGGTGGTCGTTAGTCGCAGGGTTTACTGTGTGGGCCATTGCTACTTCTGTCTGGAGCAGTCGCACGGGAGATTATGCCCTACATGATTGGTGGCCACTGGCAATGCGAAGTTCTGATTTACGTTCACGCCAAGAAATCACGTGGAACGAAATGTGACGAACAAGTAAATCTAACGAGTAAAGATAGACGTGCAATGCCGGGGCACAACATTGACAGGCTACTGAGACGTTCAACGACCTGACACCTTGCTGTAACACATCTCCTGTGCTCAAACCAACAGCCTTCCAACATGGAAGGTTCACGGTTAGGTTGGATCGAAGAGGGAAAGGTGAGCGCAGCAAAAATGTGCACAAGCTAAGTCCTGCGGCAACAAAGAATGCCGACTGTTACAGGACGATGATGAGGCCAGTTGATAACATGACAATGTGGTCTGACTACCATTCGCAGCAACCCAAGCCGTATGGTGGGTGGGTCAGCAATATAAAAGATAATGGAAGGGTAAGCTCTGCGAAAACGAATTGTACAAAAGCCGGACCCCGATATGGCGATATCTTGGGGTACTCCTCGTACATGGCACTACAGGTAGACTCCCTTTAATTCGAACCTCAAATTGCCAGGCCCTAACTTCGAATTATCCAGAACTTCTAATTATCCAAATGCAGCCCCATGCACTGATATGTATGTCGAAATGCTTGAAATCGCATGCTGAATATTTTTTGCACATTTTTATTTGCATCAACGAAACATAGGTGCAAGGACGGGTACCGGTCGTGTACAATGGATCATCAAACCACTGGCACTGGGTCGACACAAAATCATTTTGACATCTTCATTTTCTAGTGAAGAAGTTGTCAGTCACTGCAGCTTTCCTGAAACAATTTCAACGGAAAAGAACTGCGCTGCCTAATCCGCGTCATGAAGGGCCGTCGGACAGCAGCACGTCGTTCTGAAGAACGGAAATGGAGCATAGGCATAGACAATATTTACGACAATAGTGTTTTTGTGCGCCAACATCTCCGCGCACGAGCTGGCGCGGCAAGAAAGGCCATCGAGATCCGCGAAGAGAGTCAGCCACCTGGAAGACATTGTCTTCAATCAAACCTTTGCAATTTGCCTCGCACGTGCTTGAAATAAATTTCGAGAGAAGGTGGGTTTCTTGAACGCTATAGTCGATCCTGCAGCGGACCATCGATCGATTTTTTAGCTACTCTTGGCTAGAGAAGGAGAAAAGAATGAACTTCGAATTACAAGGATAGCAATCAATCTCACTTCGAAATAAGCGTTCAAAGGACATAGCCAATGTACTGTAAACAGCTCTTCTGTACGAAAACTGGGTTCGAATTATCCAACCGGCGCACTTTTCGTACTTCGAATTATGCATTCGATTTTGACTTGAAGTGACTTGCAGAAGATCGGTACGACGAAAAAGTTCGAATTACACGGAATGTTCGAATTATACCGTATTCGAATTAGAGGGAGTCTACCTGTAGTGTGGCCGAAAATCACCTCATATCCACACATGGTGCTCAGCTCTGGGTCGTATCAAGAGTACGTACCGTATTTTACCGGTTGTAAGTCGACCCCGGTTATAGGTCGACCCCCGTATCCGGAGGTCTCAATTCTGTGTTTTAAAGGTTTCACCCAAAGAAGCACTACTAACCACTCCCTGCTATGAACACATCAACAAATCGTGTAAACATTCCTTATTGGAGGTTATAACATCCCAATCCTTGAAAAGGCCAATAACTTGGCAAAAATGTGCACACATAGTGCACTCGTGCATGCAGTGCGGGTCATTATTTGTAAGATACTGATAATTCCCGGTTATAAGTCGAATCCCGGTTGTAAGTCGACCCCCACCCTTTCTATTTCTATTTTAAGTCGTAAAAGATCGACTTACAACCGGAAAAATACGGTAACCCTTAAGAGTGTGCAACTGCCTGCACAACCTCTGTGCTGTGCTGCGACGGCAGAACTTCACATCGCGTGACATGGTTCAAAAGGTTATGCTGGCAAACAGTGCAAAGTGACCACAAGAGAGTTGTACCCAAAGCAGGGTTTCGTACAACCCCGTATCTATCATGCACAGAGTGCAAGTAATGTGCACGGGTTCATCACATGATGTGATGTTCTGCCGTCGCAGACCGCATACTGTAAGACATGTTATTATAACGAGTCGCAAATTTAACGATTGTCCAAAATTCATAGGTTAACGAGAAGATATGTTAACGATCTTGCACTATTCTGCCATATCCACACACAGCATACATGAAGCAGTACGGCCTCAACGGATCTTATTATAACGAAGAAATGTCATCCGTTAAAACGTTAGATTTGCTTCCTCGTGACGTTATATATACATGTCTTACAGTAGCTGGAGTTGCACACTCTTGGGGGTTATGTACTCTTGGTCGTATTCATACACGGTGCTCAGCAGCTCTGGCGTGATCCCCTTTCTCTCGCGGTGTGTTTTCCGTGTGTGCTTGCGCTCCCGCACAGAGCAAGAAGTTGGTCAAGCGGGAAGCGGACACAACCACGCGGGGCGGCAAGGGCAATCGACTGGCCACGGCGCATCGGCGCGGCTCAACCCGCACAGTGCGCAAGCCGGTTCGCGACCTGCCCGACACGCCGCCGCGCAAGATCAAGCTTAACGATCGCATGAAGGCGTGCCTGCAGCTCGTCAAGGACCTGCTGTCCAAGAAGCACGTCGACTACAACTGGCCCTTCCTGCATCCGGTCGACTACGTGACGCTAAAGCTGCACGACTACCCCTCCATTATCAAGCAGCCAATGGATCTCACCAGTGTCAAGGAGAAGTTCCCCACCTACCGCACGTCGGACGAGTTTCTCGCCGACATGCGGCTGATCTTCTCCAACTGCTACCTGTGAGCTTGCAGCTGTGTGTGGATCTGTGTGTGGGTGTCTCTCTCTCTCTCCATCTGTCCATCTCTCTCTCCATCTGTCCATCTCTCTCTCCATCTCTCTCTCTCTCTCTCTCTCTCTCTCTCTCTCTCTCTCTCTCTCTCTCTCTCTCTCTCTCTCTCTCTCTCTCTCTCTCTCTCTCTCTTCATCTCTCACTCCATCTCTCTCTATCTATCCATCTATCTACGTATCTATCTTTCCCCTCACATTCGTGCACATCACCACTAGTACTGTTTTCTTTTGTTGCAATCGTTGTGTCGCTGCTGCTCTGTAGGTACAACAGTCCGGAGTCGAATGTTGTCGACATGGCGCGGCATCTGGAGGCTGCTTTCAACGCTGGCGTTGATGCACTGCCAGCGGAGTCCAGTGATTCGTCCCAGTCTGAATCGGACAGTGACGAGGCAGAAGAGGGCGACAGTGGAGATGGAAGTGACTCCGACAGCGATGGCGGAGACGATATAGACGAGCAGTCTCGCTCCAGGAAACTCACTCTGCTGCAAGACCAGGTGGGGAGTGTTGGTCCACCCGTACGTACGCACGCGCACGCACAGTTCTATCCAAAGCTCCTATTCTCACATGGGGGAAGGGGGGGGGGGGGGTCGTGGAGGTGAATTTGCGTGGTCTCATTTGGAAAAGTATGACAGTTTTCGAGACGTGAGAAAAGGTTCAACCGTTGTCCCCCCAGGCGGGGTTATTATTACTTATTATCTAGCTAGCATCCTCGGCTTTTGCAGCAAATGGGATGCAGTGAATGACGGTGGGTCTAATCTTCTCTCTTACCACCTCTTTAGGAGCTGGACCTGTGCCTTCATCCTTGAGACTGGTGGCGTTCCCAGTTGCCGCGGATGCGGAAAACTCGGTTGCCTTAGGTTACGTTTGGTTGGTCACATTCCCAAATGGGAATCACTTGGAATCACTCGGAATCATTCTCGCCCGTTTGGTTGGTCAAAAAAGTTCGTTAGGTTGGTCACATTCCACATGATTCCAGAATGGGAATCGCTGAGAATGATTCTTTTTGGAGAATGATCATTACACCTCACATGCTGGAATGAGCATTCTCATTCCGGAATCAAAAATGATAATGGCTGCCACGAGCCAAACAATGTAGCAACAGGTTCAAGTGCCTCAAATCATGAACTCAGAAGTACCATGACTCTCTCAAGGAAACTAGAGTCGGGTAAAAGAAAAGACAGCCGCCGTTCCACAACGACATGGAATTGTTACGTCAAGTGATTCCTAATTGATTCTGGCGCATTGGTTTGGTCAGGTGATTCTTGCCGATTCCCATTCCAGAATGGTTGTCATTTACATTCTGAAAATGCCCAACCAAACGCAACCTAAGGGCATGTTCGATTGGTAGGATCGGGATCCCGATCCACCGGATCCACTGGATTCGCACCCTTTCGATTGGTCGGATCCGGATCCTTCGGATTTGGATCCGGTCAACCCTCCTCGGGGAGCAGGGTTGACCGGATCCAACGGATCCAAATGTGACCTTTGTGCATATATGGCTGGTAAAAATCATTTTTGTACGCATTGTGGTACGCACACGTGGATGGAGATAGAGCTTGTTGACTTTTTGTACGACCTACGGGATGAGTACGACGTTCACCCTTTTGGGTGCCTTGTGAGCGCCATTTTCAACATGGCAACCGTCAAGGTCCAAAATAAAGTGTTCAGTTGAATCTGAAGGATCCGAGGGATCTGAGGTCTGGATCCCGATCCCGATCCTTACCAATCGAACATGCCCTAAGTCTCTACGTGTGAACCGTGATTCTTGTTTTTGTTTGCAGCTTCGCGAAGTTCATGATAAGTTGAACCAGCTGACCAGCGAGTCAAGCCGTCCTAAGGGCACCAAGCGCAAGCACAACAAGCAAACCAGCAGCCACACCGCAGCCAGCGGTGGCACCACCAGCGGCAACAGCACCAAGACGTCCTCGTTGGCTGGCGGTGGCGGCGCCAAACGACGCAAGGCAGCCGATGAGCGCGGCGGCAAGGAGGCAGAGTCTCCGTCCATCACGGCCATTGCACCTCCGGCCAAGAAGAAGAAATCCGCGAAGAATCTGTCCGCCACGGGTGCATCTGCCGTACTCACACCAACGGCAGCCTCTCGTCCGGTCTCCTCTCAGCTAGCAAACTCCGCCAGCAAGTCAGCAGCTGCTGCGGCTGGCAAGGCTACCAAGGCGAAGCCGAAAAAGAAGACGAAGTCTGCCAAAGATACCGCTGCCAAGTAGGTGTTCGTGTCCGTGGTGGACTCGCGATGCGCGTGTGTGCGTGCGTATGTGTTTTTCGAAGAAAAATTGTCCCGAAAACTATTGGCTGGCATGAGAAAATGTTTACTTTCCTGCAGTAGGTGTGCATATTGTTGGTTTACACAAGCAATTCCTAGTTACAGTAAACCCTGTGACTAACAACCACCCCTGGGGCCAGAGAAAGCGGTCTTTAGTGCCAGGTGGTCCTTAGTTAGAGGTTTGCACCGCACAACCATAGTTGTATGAATGCGAGACCGTCCGTGCCTGGCGAAGTGGTCTGTAGTACCAGGCTGGTCGCTAGTCACGGTGGGTCTTTAGTGACAGGTTTCGCTGTACGTGCCGTGCTCGGTTCCAATAAGCCCATTGCGCAACGACACGATTTGTACCATAAACACCCCACACAGCCACCTGGGCATAGTCGTATGGGGTGTTGGACGTGTATACCTGATCCCAGCGTACCCACATGCATGATTTCACTGTAGAGCCATTATTCTAACGAGGTGCATATATAACGATTTCTCCCCCTTATGTTTAGGCTGCCCGTTTCGGAGCCATCAGTTGCCTGATGATCGTAGTAATACGTGAAACTAGAGTTGTGACAAAGCTTCCAATCTTTCTTGTGTATATAACGATTTCCTAAAATTGACTGGTTTACGTGTACCAAAGATAACGATTCTCACTCATCCTCAACGCTCAATAGGACAGTATATGTGTCGATTTCTGTATAACGATTTCTATTTTAACGACAGATTTCTCCTCGTTAACTCGTTAGAATTAGCACTTCGTTGTATATAAGGCTTTTACAGTATACTGTATAAGCAGAAATATTCGTCTGGAATTTAATTTCGTCTTTTTCGTCCAAGGAGCTTTTGGACTAAATTAAAGGGGAAGTTAAGGCAAAAATTAAAATTTCACCAGTTGTAGTCTTCGGGGTGCTGAGTCGAATGGTCTTGGTCCGAGAAAGCTGAGACGCTCCCTTCCTACTTGAATCCCAATCGAACTCGCGCACTTCCACCGAAACTGGGTGACTGCGCCCTACGAGATGGGGATTTGTATGCAAAATGTCACTAAAAGCGCCATTTCGTTCTTATAAAAGCACGGATGACCGCGATTGGCCCATATGTTGTAGTCTTTTGGACGCTGAGTCGACTGGTTTTGGTCCGAAAAGGCTGCGATGCAGCGTTCGCCCCTAATTCCCAATCGAACATGGTTGAACAAGCGGTCACGTGCTCCTGCGTACACCAGTCACCTGGTCACCGTGCCTGCAGGGTACAACTTACAGCCTGTTTTGACCTTTTTTGGGTGCAGTCCTGTCACTCGAGTTGAACCTTGGTGTGAAAGTTGTCGCCTGCTGGCGTGGTGACCAGGTGATTTTGGCACCCAGGAGCACGTGACCGCTTGTTCAACCATGTTCGATTGGGAATAAAGGAGGAACGCTGCATCGCAGCCTTTTCGGACCAAAACCAGTCGACTCAGCGTCCAAAAGACTACAACATATGGGCCAATCGCGGTCATCCGTGCTTTTATAAGAACGAAATGGCGCTTTTAGTGACATTTTGCATACAAATCCCCATCTCGTAGGGCGCAGTCACCCAGTTTCGGTGGAAGTGCGCGAGTTCGATTGGGATTCAAGTAGGAAGGGAGCGTCTCAGCTTTCTCGGACCAAGACCATTCGACTCAGCACCCCGAAGACTACAACTGGTGAAATTTTAATTTTTGCCTTAACTTCCCCTTTAAATGTAGGACGAATATCAATTTGTCCAGCGTTTCTATACACTCTTATGATCTTCGGACGAAAATTTCAACCGGACGAACTCCTTTTCTTTGGAGTTGGGCGAAATTATTGACCGACGAAATTTTCTGCCTCTACAGTACACTGTCCTGTTGAGCGTTGAGAATGCGTGAGAATGAGTGAGAATGCGTGAGAATGAGTGAGAATGCGTGAGAATGAGTGAGAATGAGTGAGAATGAGTGAGAATGCGTGAGAATGCGTGAGAATCGTTACCTTTGGTACACGTAAACCAGTCAATTTTGGGAAATCGTTATATATGCGCCTCGTTAGAATAATGGCTATTACAGTACTCATACAGCATACAGTCCATATTTGGCCATGCGCCATGGGCTTATCTGCCCGGATTAGGGGGGGGGGGGGGGGGGGGTGTACAAGACGATAATGGTTTGGTGGGAATAACCGATTACCCCTGAGCGCAGTCTGCCTCTCCGGTGTTTGCTTATGCGTGCTTGTGTGTTCGCGCGGGCTTTGTTTTTGTTTCTTACAGAACTGCTGCGAGCCACGGGCCGCTAGCGAAGCGGGCGCCGACCACACCAGCAGCGAGCGCCGCGTCTATCATCGCTACCACTTCGTTCAGCGACGAGGATGATGTGGCTGACGACGCGCCGCCCATGACGTTCGAACAGAAGCGTGACCTCAGCCAGAACATCAACAAACTGCCACGTTAGTGCATGCACTCGACTACTCGTAAAGCTGTTTAAACTGTTCTTGTCGCCAGGGGAAATTCCAAGAAAAGGCACTCGTTCCCCTATGTTCTTAGGGCCAATCAACCTTGATATAACCTTGCTTGTCTTGTTGTTCTTTATCCAGTTCCTGCTTCAGCTGCTGGAGTAGTGGCTGGGGAAAAACTGTACAGAAAACACTTGGAGTGCAATACTACAGGCTTTTACCTACTACAATATTTGCCAAGAAAATCCGGCATCGTAGTCAACTACCACATGCAGCATTGGCCGGATTTTTTGCCGAGTATAGTCGTGCCGTAAAATACCGTTGATCCCCCCCCCCCCACGCCATGTCGCTTCCCAGTTTGTTTTTCGGCAGGGGCGGAAATTAGATCAAGGCAGTGAAGCGCAGTAAGATGTACAACAACGTCGAGGATCAAACTCGATGTGCTGGATTGTGCACATTTTCATCCTGGATTGGCCCGTATCGTGTACAGCAGTGCAAGCGTCGGTTCAACATCGTATTTCGTTGTACACGCCGAAATCGCTTCACAGGTAGAAAATCGACAGGGGGCGGGAATTAGAGAGGGGGCGGATCAACGGTACTTTACGGTACATGTACTTCCTCCGCCAAAGCGAAATTTTCGCTTATCTTTACACTTTTTACTGATACATTCCAGATTCTCAGAACGGCTTATAGCGACTCAGAATGAGTTGAGGAAGTCATTGAACATCAAAAGAACCTATCCAAGTCTAAAATGTAGAATTCATCCTTTGTCATCAGCCGACGCAGCACTCGTTATCGGGTAGTACTTCACACTTTTTCCAGAAGTGCAAGTATTTCATATCGACACTTTCCACGCGCTTCACCTCCTTCATCGGTACGATCGGTCGTGTTTCTTACCAGCTCTGCTACCCTGGTACTTCACACTTTTTCCAGAAGCGCAAGTATTTCATATCGACACTTTCCACGCGCTTCACCTCCTTCATCAGTACGATCGGTCGTGTTTCTTACCAGCTCTGCTACCAGTGTGCCAGTTGTTACTATGGTGAAGTGCACAAGATGTAAAAATAGTTGTCAGACACCTGTCAGTGGGCTGAAGGAGATAAGCGAACATTTTGCCTGGGCGGAGGAAGTACCTACTATGTTCGTAGGCAGTTTTGCTTTCGAAAGGTGTTCACAAGGCGCTGGAACATTTCCGATGTGTGGTGCGTACTTTAATAGTATAACCCCGTATTATTGGCACGACCACGGGTAGTAACTAGTGAATCTGGGAACTTTGCTGCTGGAGGTTGTCAAGGTTTACCAAGGTTGCCTGCTTGAAAATCGATGTTCGAAAAACCTTTGACTTTGATGATACATGGTGATGGCGGCAGAGTAGTTCTATTTATCGATATATTAAAATTGTCGTCTCTGCGTCGTTTATCTAATACCGTAAAATCCCGCCAGAGCGCCCCTACCTCCGCCACCCTTCGAGTATGTCCAGGTGGTGGGGGGGGGGGGGGGGGGGACGGATGGGCGAGTCTTACTTGATGCGTTCTCTACTACATGAAAAAGTACTCACCCTACGAAAACTGTTTGTGCATCTCGTACACCGACCAAAGGTCAAGAGCAGGGAGTTGTATAGACCCATCAAAACTCAGGGTTTGTGCGATTCCTGGTCAAGAGGGTGGGCACTGTTGCGTACATTTTCAACCGGGTCGAGCAGGCGTCTGCAGTACAGTACGGCATCACAGAGTCATACGAGGATACGATCAATCACTTCCCTGACAAGAAGTCAGGGAGGGGCGCATAGGAGAGACGACGGACTCTGGCGGCATTTTACGGTACTTATAAAATTAGCTGCCTTTTTATAGGGTGCGTTCTTGTATTCTCTAGCTTCTCGGAGAAGAAGAAAAGAGAAGTCGAAGAAACTGGTATAATTCAAGAACGGGTCTCGAAGAATTCGGAGATATTTTGCACATGTCAAGCAATACGAAGCGCCAAAGGGGCCACGATCTTCAGCGATGAATGTACTATGCACATGTGCGTATGCGAAAAGGGAAATGCGTACACTCATGATCAAAGTGTGACTTTTAGCCGTAGTTCGCATGCGCTGATCCCAACCTGCGGGAATCTCCAAGTTTCAACCGCCTCTGAAGTTTGGAGAGCTTTGGAGAGCCTCCTAAAAGACGGGGATGATATAAGAACAGCTCTCGAACTTTTTGGAGAGTCTCTAACTTTCCGAGAGGATTTAAGAACGCACCTTTAATAGTAGTGTTGAAACGAGCGTATCTATAACAAACGAGCGATCAGTTCCACTAACGAGCAAGCTATCGAGCGAGCTAACGAGTTTCATTGATGTGGCAAATAATTATGATTATTTTTTTGAATAATTTTTTTTCTAAGTTCGATTTTTTTCAGCTGGTTCAAATTTATCACCGCCGGCATTTGGGGTTGCTGCTGCTTCACTTCGGACTGCTGTTTGGTGTCGAGATGTCTTTTCAGCGCCATCGTCGATTAGCCTTTGTAAGAATAGACCGTTTTGCAAAGATAGCAAGTAGCCCTGGTCTTCGCTGCATCGCGGGAGAAAACTTCCAAACAACTGAGCGTAACTTTCACTCGAATGGAGAGGTGACCGAAGCATATCCTTCGACAGGTCAGCAGATGCGGAACAAGACATCAGTAGAGTCCACCAAAGCTGCAACGACAACTGAAACAACTCAAGTGTCGTGCAGGCATACAGTCACCTGTAACTGCGAGTGATTTTCACTTTGCGCGGGATCGGGACTGGACTCTAGATCGATCGACCAGGGAGTCGTAAAATATTTTACGACTCCCCGGTCGACATGTACTGCCATGTGTACGGAGTACGGTGTACGGTGTTCGTTAGCGCAAACGAGCTGGCCGCACAAACGAGCCGAGTTTCTGGCGAGCGAGCTAACGAGTATCCGGTGAGATCGTTTCAACACTATTTAATAGTACAGCGTCCTTTCCCTTGCTCAGACGTGGCAAGAGTACAGTTGGTAGTAGATTATGTAACTATTCATTTGCCTTGTCTACTCTCCGTACCGCAGTCCCTCCTGGTTAGTGTGCATGGGAAGTATTCTGTCTCATGTTCAGGAGGTCCCTGCATCTGTTCCAGGGTTAACGTGTCAGAAAAGTTTTTCTTTACAAGTCTTGCGGTGATGATTGAAATATTGGACAGACTCTACTAGCCGTGGTGACGTCTATATACCCAAATTTCAGAGCAAGGCTTTTTTTCCTTTTTTTGCTTGCATGGCTTATTGCAGCCATTGTGTGCATGTGTTCACTGGTGCCTGACACTCTCTGTTTTTTGCCGCTTACGCACAGGGGTTTCCCGTTGCCTGGAACACCCCCCCCCCCCAATTTTCCAAACGAGCAACGTTTTTGGGCATTTTTGGGTAGGGTGCGCGATCGATCTGACAAGAGTGCAACATTTCAACAGATCGCAACTTGGTCAAATCTCGCTCTAATCCAACGATGGAAGTATTGAGGTCGACTAGAAAACTCTCAACTGTCGGTAGAAACAATTCGCGAAGCGCTGCGAGCAATGTTTCTTGAGATGCAGGTAGACTCCCTCTAATTCGAATACGGTATAATTCGAACATTCCGTGTAATTCGAACTTTTTCGTCGTACTGATCTCCTGCAAGTCACTTCAAGTCGAATTCGAATGCGTAATTCGAAATTGGAAACATGCACCGGTTGGATAATTCGAACTCAGTCTTCGTACAGAAGAGTAGTTTACAGTACAGTGACTATGTCCTTTGAACGCTTTTTTTCGAAGTGAGATGGAGTTACTATAATTGTACAGGCAGACCTCGCTTATCCGGTCCTCCTTTATCCGGATCCCTCGCAAACCGGAAGAAAGTAGCTGGTTACAGATTTACAACATCCGCGATGCATCCAACATAACCAGTGTTCAGTTATCCGGTTCCCTCGCCTATCCGGATATTTTTGTGGAAAACGGATGTGTGCGGTTAAGCGAGGTCTGACTGTAATTCAAAGTTCATTCTTTTGTCCTTCTCTAGCCAAGAGTAGCTCAAAAATCGATCCCTGGTCCGCTCCAGGATCGACAGTAGTGTTCAAGAAACCCACCTTCTCTCGAAATTTGATTCAAGCTCGTGCAAGGCACAGTGCAAAGATTTGATTGAAGACGACTTCTTCCAGGTGGCTGACTCCGTTCGCGGATCTGGTGACCTTTCATGCAGCGCCAGCTCGCGCGCAGAGATGTTTGTGAACAACAACACTCTTGACTGGAAGTCGTAAAATAATATTCGTCTATGCCTATACCTATCCTAGGGCTCTTTTAAAAGGGTAAAACTCATTGTTTGTGATTCGGTTGGAAACCCCCTAGAGGTGACCCTGCGTACGCGTACGCTCCTGCTCTCTCTCTCTCTCTCTCTCTCTCTCTCTCTCTCTCTCTCTCTCTCTCTCTCTCTCTCTCTCTCTCTCTCTCTCTCTCTCTCTCTCTCTCTCTCCCCCTCCCCACGAATTATTATTCGATACACCTCCCGGTGCCCGGCCTAGGTTGTATGCCTCGGCAGAAGGGCAGGCGATCTCGAGGTGCCCCTAGCCTTAGCCCTGCTAGCCACTACCATTGCCTGTCATGTAGATGTACATAACCCTAGCCACTACCATTGCCTGTCATGTAGATGTACATAACCCCCTGCTAGCCTTAGGTACCATTGCCTGTACTAAGTGTACATGTAGATCTACACTACATAACCCCTGCTGGAGGTTATCTACACGTTTTGCTGCTACCTATGCCAGCCAGATAATTGCAATAGGCGTGGTGGTCTATGCGTCCACCACCACTGCATACAGAGTGTTGCTTTTTGATCATTGATGATCTGCCTCTCTCTCTCTGCATGTAGGTGACAAGTTAATGCCGATATTGCACATAATTCAGGGACGCGAGAAATCTCCTCGTTACAAGCAACAGGCGGCCGAAAGTGGGTTCGAGGTCGACTTTGCGGTGCTTGGGAATTCTACACTTCGGGCGCTGGATGCATATGTCAACGAGCTTTCCCGCAAGAAGAAACCACAGAGTGAGTTGGACCAGGTTTTGTTTGTTTGTTGAGCGGAGAGTTCCTGGGATGGTATGTGCGGAGTGAAACTGTGTCATTCATTTGGCAATTGTGGTAGCAAGCCATGTGCCGCTAACCCGGCACTTGCTTTAGGGTTTTGTGGCACGGCTTGCTCCATAATGGTCTGCCACTCTTCTGATCGCGTTTGACATAATTTAACCCTTTACCATCCGCAATCAATGCATACGGAGAATTTCACCGTATAATTTTTTCCCTGCATTGAGCGTAACTCTAGTTTTCCCTTAAGCAATTGCCATCATCTTGGGGCATCCTGGAAAGCTCGTGACAAGAGCAACGCTAAGAGCACAAACTCAATCCCATAGGATGCGCTTGACCAGTGCTGCACGCCAGCGAAGGCGCTTCAGCGCGGCGCGTGCACCCTGGTTTTGTTTTGGTTGTCACCGCTCGAGCAACCTTGGCTCCGCTGATATCGAAGGCCGGTGGGCCCGCACTCTTCGGTGACGCCAAGAGTGTTAGCCGTGTGCCGCGGGCCCGCAGCGTAATTGAGCCTTTTGGAGTTACGTACCGGTCTACCTTGCCGCATGGGTTTGAGTTTGGGTTCTTAGTGTTGCTCTCGTCATGAACTTTCCATGATGCCCCAATTTGATGTCAATATGTCCGAGGGAAACCAAAGTTACGTCCAACTCAAGGTAAACATTTTAGACTGTGCTATTCTCTGTACAATCGAGTGCGGATCATCCCATCGGATTTCAATGGATGGTAAAGGGACAAGAAAATAACGATTGGTGTTCCTGCCAGAAATATGGGGTGATGCAGAGGGCAGTCGATTACCTTCGCTGTCGAGAGAGCGCTGCAGCTGTTAGCATTGGCAGCCCTTTGACATGCGTCACACATCACCCCGACTTCGCGTCAGCTTGTCTAAACAAAACTGTTCTGACCATATGCCTCACGGCGTTTAGAAAAATTCGGGATCCTCGTACTCGGACCAGTGAAGTCGTCAGCTCCAATTTCCTGGCCCTCATCAGGCTGCGCTTCTACCAGGGGCACCTCAGGGGGTCCTTCAGGTTCCTTAGAGTATGTCCGCAGTCGTGAAGCTGGGAATGTCGACCAAACATCGTTCTTCATCACCAGAAAATTCAAACAACTAAGATCTTCAAATGCAGAAAATTTGAATAATCACACGTGACGTCATCAAAACCATCAAAAGAGGAGACAAACTTGGCCCTCCCTGGCTTCATATATCGACTTTTTGGGTCTAGTTTTCGCGATTCCCCATTCCTTGGGGGCCATATAAGGCCCCCATGAAGAGAACACACCACCGAAAAAATTCCCGGAGTGCCCCTATAATCAGGCTTCTCGTCGGTGAGCTTACGGACGTGTGGCATGCGTCATACATACGAGATGCAGTGATCCGTCCTGAGCGGTGCTCAAACCGTGTGGCATGCGTCTTACATACGAGATGCAGTGACCCGTCCTGCGCGGTGCTCGAACCAGAGCCTGCTGCCAGCCTGGGATCTGGTGGCCTTTTCAACGTTCTCAGCTTGCTCCTCACTTATCGTAATCACAATTGATTGGCATTTGACGAAAAGACTCTGATGACTCAACAACAGGTGAAATGGGCCATAGAGGCTTGTAAGCGGTGATGGAAGAGACATAGACACAGACGTGGGCACAAAGACTGTGGAATGAGGTGCGACTCTGCGCTTGTAGCAGTAGCCGCACCTGCGGCAACAGTCTGTTGTGCCATTTTGAACGTTCCACACTTTGAAAGATTCAACAACAAACAGTCCCAGGCGACTTCTCAATCACAACACACAAGCTAGAAATAATGCCCAAACCCCATTCGTTTCACTCTTCTTTGATGTTCTTCCTGTGCTACGTGTGCACCAACATGGCTGCCAACCTGCGATTGCGTCATGCCACTCGGGGTCTGCGCCGCTTTGGCGAGATGTGCAACCACTCTATTTGTGAGGACCATACTGTTTTGTTTTGTTCTGTTAAAAAATGTGAGCAGCTTCCATCCTGTAGTGAGCTCAGCAGTGCTGTACTGGGAAAGGAGACTAGCTTTACTGTACTGCACCGTTTTACCGCTTGGCTTTCCCTGCTGTCTGTTTTGATTGTACCAGGTTTTCACTGTGTGTGTGTGTGTGTGTGTGTATCTGTGTGTGTGTTTCTGTGTGTGTGTGTGTGTGTGTGTGTGTGTGTGTGTGTGTGTGTGTGTGTTTCTGTGTGTGTGTGAGTGTGTGTGTGTTTCTGTGAGTGTGTGTTTGTGTGTTTGTGTGCGTGTGTGTGTGTGTGTGTGTGTGTGTGTGTGTGTGTGCGTGTGTGTGTGTTTCTGTGTACGTATGTGTGTTTCTGTGTGCGTGCCTGTGCATTTGAGCAGCTCAAAAGAAGAAGGTAACTGGTGAATCGCGGCAAGACAACTTGGCACGGCAGAAACGCGAGCTGGAGGAGCGATTGACTGTAAGTTTGCCACATGGATCCAGCTCTGAGCACCAGGTGGATTCGAAAATGGTAATCATGAATGCCTCTCGCCTCTTGCAGGGACGTATCTTGCACACATCTGTTGTGTGGTGACCATGTACCAGAGCCACATATGTGGTGTGGTGACCATGTACCAGAGCCACGTGTGTGGTGTTGTGACTATGTACCAGAGCCACATGTGTGGTGTGGTGACCATGTACCAGAGTCACATGTGTAGTGTGGTGACCATGTACCAGAGCCACATATGTGGTGTGGTGACCATGTACCAGAGCCACGTGTGTGGTGTTGTGACTATGTACCAGAGCCACATGTGTGGTGTGGTGACCATGTACCAGAGTCACATGTGTAGTGTGGTGACCATGTACCAGAGCCACATATGTGGTGTGGTGACCATGTACCAGAGCCACATGTGTGGTGTGGTGACCATGTACCTGCTACCAGAGCACATGTGTTGTGTGGTGACCATGTGCCTGCTACCAGAGACACTGATGTGTGGTGTGGTGACCATGTACCACTTGTGCTGACCGTACTGCACTCTCTATACACGAGCTACGCACCTGAATCTCACACTAATTGTCTTACCCTCAATGACTGTTGTCCAAGTGCATACGTCTCAAGTGTCTTTGAGGTGTTCATCGTCGATCGTCAATAAGCAGTGTTTGCGCGTTCTGTTCTGTTGCTCTCTTTCCCGCCTGCCGTCGTATGCGTATCACAGGACGTCAGCACTCGCCTGGTGGCCGCCACACCGAAGAAGAAAGCGGCCGCCGCAGCAGCCGGAGCTGCCGGCATCGGCGGCACGCCTTCACCGGGCATGGCGGCGACGTCCGCACTCCACAGTCGCGGCGTTGGCGGTGTTCTAGGTGAGCCGCACTCTGACAACCCCCTGATGGCCCAGCTGCCCGAGCGTGCCTCGCTCAGCGACAGCGGGAGCAGCAGCAGTGGCAGCGACAGTGACAGCGACAGTGGCAGCGACAGCGATTCCTCCTCCGGCTCTAGCTCTGGCTCTGGCTCGTCGTCCGGTTCCAGTGGCTCCTCGTCGAGTTCCAGCGGCTCCGACTCTGATTCCGGTGAGTGTATATTACAGCGGCGCGTTGGCGTGACTCATGACCCCGGCTGCTGCGGGGGACCAGGCTGTGGACAAACTGGCAGCATTCTCGTGTCTTTGTCGCGTGAATGCCTTTGTGTAGACTGACAGGAACAGACGGGACATGTGGACAGTGGAACTAACACGGCCGTAGGCATCATGGTGGTTCATTGGTAGAGGCTTTATTGAATGTAGCTATGAATAAAATGATCCCACGTTTAGGCCACCCTTTGTTAATTCATTGTTTAACGTCCTTTTTTTCGCGAAAAGGTACGCGGGAGGGCGGAAAAAAAACAAAAGCCCATTCCAAATACTGGAAACCCCAATCAAACATTTTGACCAGTAAAGCATGTGATATATACAATATATCTGGGTCTAACGGCACTTGCAGGCATAGAAAAACACTCTTTGATGGTACATTGGAGCACATGCCTGATGAATCCAACAAAACAGGTACATAGCATAGAGTTAGCATGTCATGAATTCATTACATCTGGATTTTTACTAGGACACACACCGTACGATATTTAAAAGCCAACAAAAAAAGAAAAAGAACCCAAGACAAAGGCATGCCCGGGAGGCAAGATTATAAGTTTAAGGTCATGATCGGCACACTGTGAAACTACACAATCATGTATTTACAACTTCGCATATTAATGGTACTACTGCTTTCTTGTTTTTTTTTCCGGTCGGAGGCAAAAAGGTACGCGGGCGCGGACGTTAAACAACGAAAAAAGAAAGGGTGGCCTTATGTCACACAACAAAGTGTGTGCGTGCTGTCTTGTAATTTCTATTTTGTTCTATTATTGTTTTGTGTGTGTGTGTGTATACTTGCATGCTAGATGATGGCAAGAAGACCGTTCAAGCACCAATAGCCGTACCGCGACAACAGCCTTCGGCAACAGCTTCCGCCGCCAGCAGCCGTCCCGTGTCCAAGCCGTCATCTCCTGCCGATCACATGTCCGCCCTGGCCGCCCTCAAGGTCAAGTCCGGGCTTCAAGCTAGTGCCTCGAAGAGTCTGGCGAGTGGCATTTCTGCCGCTGTCGGTCGCCAGAGCAGTGTGCCGGTGTCGACCATATGCGGCCGCAGGAGCACCAGTCGGCCGGTCTCTCCCGCACTTGTAAGTCTATGTGCTGACCCTATCTGCCACACTGGGCGTGTGTGAGTGGGTATGGCTTGTAACCCCACCCCGTCCATGGGGGTGGGTGTGTTGGCGGAGGGGAGAGGGGGTAAGAATCAATGCTGTCCTCACACTGCCCGTATATCCGAGTTTGAATGCACTGCTGCGTATCATTCATTTGTTAGCAGCCTTTTCGCGTTAGCATTGCCAAGCAAGCTTGGCTAGCCTTCACTTAGGCCAACTGGAGTGAAGAATGAGGAACGCGCGGGGTCAATGAGGTGCTGTGTATACTCCATGAAATGTGCTGTTTCTTTAATCGTGCTTGCAACTGTTTTTTTATCCTGAACTTTGTGTGTGCGTGCGTGCGCGTGTGTGTGTGTGTGTATGTATGTGTGTGTAAAAAATGAAAAGACCAAAAAGTAGGGATTCACTGGCCAGAAAAAGCCACTTCATAGCTGTGTGGTGTAGACCAGGCTGAATAGTGGCGGTCAATTCTTCAGCCTTGCAAGCTGTTGAATGGTGCAATCCCAGCACAAGCTGCTATGGCTTCTGCTGTAGCATCGCTATCATCGTCTCCGGCGATGGGCGTCCAATGGTCCAATGGTGTGTGTGTGTGTGTTGCAGAAGACGTCGCCCAGTGGTTCTCCGTCGGGCGGTTTTCTTGGCAGGGCTGGCTTTGGCATAGGTAAGGTCCACAACAGTATTTGTAGCTGCTAGGTTGAAGTACGTGTAAATGGCTGTGCAGTGGTCCCATTATAATCCGGCACCATTTGTGCTATGGAAATTCTGCTCGATTAGGAAGGGTGCTGGATTCACAAATCTGATTTCCTGCTGCAGTGTGCATGAAGAGGACTTTTTGGTTACTGAGAATGGTGCTGGTTTATAAAAGGTGCTGGTCACCGTCTATCTAGTGCCGGACTAAAGAGGGACGACTGTGTTCTGTTCTTCTGTGCTCTTGGTCAGGTGGTGGTACAAGCCCAGGTCAGCAGGCAACTGGTGAGCAGCCCTAAAATATATCAGTGTGTGTGTGTGTGTGTATGTGTGTGTGTGTGTTTGTGTGTGTGTGTGTGTGTGTCTCTCTCTCTCTCTCTCTCTCTCTCTCTCTCTCTCTCTCTCTCTCTCTCTCTCTCTCTCTCTCTCTCTCTCTCTCTCTCTCTCTCTCTCTCTCTCTCTCTCTCTCTCTCTCTCTCTCTCTCTCTCTCTCTCTCTCTCTCTCTCTCTCTCTCTTTCTCTCTCTCTATCTCTCTCTCTCTCTCTGTCTCTATCCCTCCCCACGCTCTCCCCTCCCTCGCTCTCCTGCCTGTCTGTCTGTCTGTCTGTCTGTCTGTCTGTCTGTCTGTCTGTCTGTCTGTCTGTTTGTCTTTCGATCTCTGTGGTGCTTTGTCGGATAGTTCTTCCAGCTCATACTTGACCTTGGTTTTCCTCTTGGTTCTTTCTTTCCCCTGCTGCTTCCTGCATGTTGTTCTGATGGTGTCTGCTGCTACTACTGCGCTTACAGTCAAAAAGGAGACAGAAACGAAGAAGGTAGGAGCTAACTGTGTTAGATCAGTGTTTGTGTGTGAGTGTGTGTGTGGGGGAGGGGGAGTGATGTGCTGCATTCTGCAGAACTCGATCGGCTGTATTGTAATTGCTAAGCCAGATACTGTTGGAGATGGCCACTATCTAAGACCAAAGTTTCCTGTACAATTTGGGCATTTTGACTCTGACATACCTTCCCAATATGACTGCTATCAGATAATGATCTGTCCTGTTTGAAATGTTGTTGTTTATCTGTTTTGCTGATCTCTGCCGCTTTGTGTGAAATTTCTGTGTGTGTATTTCCGTGTGTGTGTGTGTGTGTGTGTGTGTGTGTGTGTGTCTGTGTGTCTGTGTGTGTATTTCTGTATCTCTATTTCCTTGTCTGTGTACTTCCGTGTGGTGTGTTTGTGTGTGTATGTATGTGTATTGTTGTCGTCGTTGTTGTTGATGCACAGATGGAAGTGAAGTGGGCCGACGCCTATAAGGGTGTCAGTTCCACCAAGGCTGCTTCCAGTGCCTCTACGAATAGCTCAGCTTCCTCAGTATCGCGTTCGTCATTTGAGGAAATTAAGCGTCTCAAGGACGAAAACGATGAGAAGGTGCGTAGCTTATAGAGAGGTTCTGCACAACGAAAGTTCGAACGAAGTTTCGCGACAGGCCTTGCGAAAGTGTGTACGAATTTTCGCACGAACTTTGTGTTCTGCACATTTTCGTAGTTTGCACGCGCCAAGTGCACGTACGACATGACCCAATCTCACGAAACTTCCTACGAAAGTTCATTTCGCGTTCCCTGCAAGTTTCGCGTCCACAGTTGCGAAAGTTCGTGCGAAGTTTCTCACTTCGTGACGTAGAGCGAAAGTTCGTACACATTTTCGTTTTGCAGAACCTCTCTTATGTCTCTCTCCTAAGCCCTTTGAGGACCGACGACGAGTTAACTCGAAACATGTATCCTGTAGTCCCGAGTATGAGTATACTCGTCCTGCCAGTGCATACATTTGTGCAATGCATATGCAGCAGTGTTCAATTTAGTCGTGACTCTGGTGTCCTTTCTCCAATCATCGCTAATCACAGCTCGTTTGGAAAGTCAACAAAATATGCTTTCCAGTGATATGTCGTTTGATATACAGTGGAGATTGGATATAACAACACTCCTTTGGGAGAGAACAAAAATGTCACTATAGTCGATCCGTCACCAAACCCGATCTTCGCAAAGGACTTACTAAACGACTTGGGCAACAAGATTGTGTCGCTAAACTCAATCTGTCGGTATATGCAAGGTTGTTATATCCGATCTCCACTGTAGCGTGATGTGGATTCACGGAGCGGCGAAGAGCGAAACACGAATACGCTTGAACCTGTTTGACTAATTGCATGCACAGTGACTATGTAATCAGCCACACACGGTGCTACTTGTGTTTTATGTACGGTATTCTTGTAGTGGTCACCAATCATCATGTTGCTGTTGCCTGTTGGTCTTCATCCTTATATGGTTGTTTTTTTTCATTCCCGTTAGGCGATTGAGAGGTTCAGTGGGCCGCTTGTGGGCCGCTTGTTTTTGCATAGAATCGGGCCATTGGGCCCAGCTCGGCATTGAGCCTCATTGAAATCTTATGGAGCTTTATATGCGAAAGAAGTCTTATTAGCGATGAGTCAGCAGCATTCCGGAACCGCACGTGGACTCTATGTACAGTGTTGCTCAATGGAATCCAGTCGTGTCACTCAAGTACGCCATGCCGGGCGTTGCGCAGCCCTAGACCTGCGAACACTGGGCTGTGGAATGATGCAAGGTGCAAACTTGAGTGACGCGACTGGATTTTATTGAGCAGGACTGTACAATCATGTACGTAGAGCGAGTCGATAGTGCGTCGCTGTACCGCAACTTTGCCGAAGCATCTCGACTCGTGATGTAATTGATTAACCTGTATAGATTGGACGGGTCAGGTATGACCGGTGCTGTGTGAGTCGTTAGAAACTGTTCCTGTAGTCAACATTGTGTTGCTCTTGCTGTTGCTGTTGGTGTTTGTATTCCAGGAGCGACGCAGACAGATTGAGGCCAAGGAGAAAGCAAAGCAGGAGGAGGAGAGGAAGCGCCTCGAGGCGGAGAGGAAGAAGTATGTCAGACTATCTATCTATCTGTATTATCCTTCCTCCATCTCTCTCTCTCTCTCTCTCTCTCTCTCTCTCTCTCTCTCTCTCTCTCTCTCTCTCTCTCTCTCTCTCTCTCTCTCTCTCTCTTTTTCTCTCTCTTTTTCTCTTTTTCTCTCTCCCGCATTTACTTAGCGAGTGTGTATGTGTTTTCCGTTGTGTGTGTGTGTGTGTGCGTGTGTGTGCGTGCGTGTGTGTGTGTGCGTGTGTGTGCATGCGTGTGCGTGTATGTGTGTTGCTGAAGGATTGAGAGCGAGTCCAGTGCCATGCGACTTCTGGAGCAGCAGGAGTTGGCCAAGAAAGAGGAGATGGAGCGTCGTCGGCAGTTGCGAGAGCAGGCGGCCAGGATGCGCAAGGAAGAAGGGGTTAGTTGGCTGTGTGTAGGGTAGTGGCGGCACCTATAGGGGTTAGTTGGCAGTGTTTAGTCTAGCAGGGGCATAGCTGCTCCCTCTCTTTTAGGGGGTGCACGGCCGCATACCGTTAAGTCTTGTAGAAAAGCCGCGGCTTCTATGACTTTCTTGGTGAAATGTTGCAGGCTTCTATATGAGACAGGCTTCTATACAAGACAGGTATTTCTATGTACCGTAATGTCGCGTGCATAAGCCGGATTTGTGCATAAGCCTGTCTCGTGTAGAAGCATGAAATCTGCAACAGCTTTTCGCGTACAAGCCTGTCGCATGCATAAGCCGGGCCAGTACACGAGACGCGCCACGTGTCGCGTGCGTAAGCCGGGCTACTACGCAAGACTGGTGAGCGCGCCTTTTACATGTTCATGTTTGCATGGTACCGTACACTTGCGAAAAAAAAGAAAAAAAATCCCGTTGGAAAATGTTGGTTTTGACGTCCAAAAGTCAGCAGTTTGCGCATACAAGCCTGGTCATTGAGTGGTGCTTGTCATATAAGCCTGTCTCGTGTATAAGCCTGTCTTGTGTACAAGCCTGACTCCATCACCGGCTTATAGGCATATAAGCCCCGGCTAATGCACGCGACAACACTGAAACCAGGCTTATGTGTGATTTGATGGGCCCAAAAATTGCGGCTTCTATTCGAGGGCGGCTTCTTTTCAAGTGCGGCTTTTATACAAGACTTTACGGTATGTGTAGGATGGCTGGTGCACGTCATTTAGTCATCATGTGCATGCTGAACCTAGGTCAAAAATTTTTTTTGGGGGGTGCATGTGCCGCATGCGGGCTACGTGCCTCGTTAATGGCAATGCCTACATGGTTTGCTTTAGTTGAGATAGCAATGAACCGCTCTGTACTAAAGGTCAAATTGAAGAGCTGAGATGCGAAACCCGCTAATCGCCAAATTTGAGAAAATCAGTTTTCAGCTCAGCGTAATCAAAAAGGTCTGGGGTCACAACAAGCCAACATTTCACATTCAAAATCCGACTAGAATCATTTCAAAACTGGAACCCGAATATGGATTTAGATACAAACCGCACACATAAAAGGAATCCGTGTTTGGTCATTATTTTCCGAAAAGCGATGAAGTGGATTTATCGGGCTTCGCATTCCAGCTCTTCAATATTATTGTACTTCAGTTTGCGTACAGGAAATCGTGCCTGGCGTCCGTCTTGGTGAGAAAGCTCTCCCTGAGTTCACTATCGTCAGTCATCGCAATGCGCATTTCCAGGCTTTCCCGTATGCGTGCCAGTGTGGTGCAGGTGAACCCATGGAGGGATGTGCATATGCGCTCATGGTCTACTTTGCAGCGGCACCTACATGACGTTGTTCAGTGTTGCACGGAGGTCAATCTCAATGCTGTAGACAGCAAGCTGTTCCGGCCATAAAGGCCTCATCAGCACAGCTACGAGCTAAATAAGCCGAGCTACCAGCTATGGTGCAAAGGAGGCACCACAGACATTGAAGGGGAAGTTAAGGCAAAAATCAAAATTTCACCAGTTGTAGTCTTCGTGGTGCTGAGTCGAATGGTCGTGGTCCAAGGAAGCTGAGACGCTCCCTTCCTACTTGAATCCCAATCGAACTCTCGCACTTCCACCGAAACTGGGTGACTGCGCCCTACTAGATGGGGATTTGTATGCAAAATGTCACTAAAAGCGCCATTTCGTTCTTATAAAAGCACGGATGACCGCGATTGGCCCATATGTTGTAGTCTTTCGGACGCTGAGTCGACTGGTTTTGGTCTGAAAAGGCTGCGAAGCAGCGTTCCTCTTTTATTCCCAATCGAACATGGTTGAAGAAGCGGTCACGTGCTCCTGCGTACACCAGTCACCTGGTCACCGTGCCTGCAGGGTACAACTTACTAGCCTGTTTGACCTTTTTTGGGTGCAGTCCTGTCACTCGAGTTGAACTCGAGTTGAACCTTGGTGTGAAAGTTGTCGCCTGCTGGCGTGGTGACCAGGTGATTTCGGCACCCAGGAGCACGTGACCGCTTGTTCAACCATGTTCGATTGGGAATAAAGGAGGAACGCTGCATCGCAGCCTTTTCGGACCAAAACCAGTCGACTCAGCGTCCAAAAGACTACAACATATGGGCCAATCGCGGTCATCCGTGCTTTTATAAGAACGAAATGGCGCTTTTAGTGACATTTTGCATACAAATCCCCATCTAGTAGGGCGCAGTCACCCAGTTTCGGTGGAAGTGCGCGAGTTCGATTGGGATTCAAGTAGGAAGGGAGCGTCTCAGCTTTCTCGGACCAAGACCATTCGACTCAGCACCCCGAAGACTACAGCTGGTGGAATTTTGATTTTTGCCATAACTTCCCCTTTAAGAGGTCAATTTCATACGTGCATTTATCACAGGGAGAAGGGGCGTGATCTGTAAGTTTCTTTTGCTCTTCTCTTTTCTGTTTGTCGTGTTCGCAGATGCAAGTCAACTTGACGGAGCAAATGGATTTGCTGTCCCAGTTCGAAGAATCCATGTAGGCAGCCATTGCCACGCTCGTCAAAGTCCAAGCTCTGAGTTGCATCCCGTTCTTTTCGTCTCTGTCCACGGCTGTGTGTAGCCGCTGCCCTGTTTCTTCTTGCTCAACCAGTTTTGTTGCAACTTTGCTCCTGTGTCCCGCTGTTGACGGGTATCGTCCCGCTGAGCAAGCTGGTCTTTTTCGTGAACGCTACGGCGTCGTTGCTTTAATCTCCCCGTGGCCTGTTAGATTTCATTACGTCGGCGTCGGTGTGCTGATGGTGGTCTAGCAGGCATGGCAATGGTAATGCTTAGTAATTGTCTACTCTCGGCCGACGTCACCCGATGGCTTCCGCTCTAATATCTTCGTTGTGTCGTGTGTATTGTCTATAGCCGAGCAACACTACAGTGTGTGTCCCGTATACATGCATTGTGCTGATGCTGACAGCCGTCCATGCAGCAATCTGCTCAGGCCAGTGTTGACATCCGCTCCATGCTGTACGCTACGGGCTGTAATTGCAGAGAAAATTAAACGGAGAAAACACCAACAAAAGAAACCGACTGTACTCTGTCGTCCGTGACTGTGTGCGCCGGGAAACGAAAACCAACGTAGCTGTAAAACTGATACTCTAACCTGATGGGAGCCGTGACTAAACCCATCGTCCGCATCTAGCCTTGCTGGAGAACCATGCACCGCCGTGCATCACTGCTACCGACTCTATCTTGAGAATGTGGTGCGCCGCTGCTCGTGTCCTTGTTGTTGTTGCTGTCGTCGTCGTCGTTGTTTGTTGCTGACTAACATTGGATGCAGCAGAGGTGTGCCAACTACCTACGGCACTGTGCTGTTGCCTCTGCTGCTGACTTGGTCCTGTGCCTGCGTGTTCCTGCCTACGCTGTGCTGCTTTTAGGTCTAGCTGCATTTTGCCCCTCTCTCTATATTTTTTTAAATCTTCCGATCTAGCCACCACCACCACCGTCCCTGCCATCACATCTCTGCCTCCGTGCTCAACGGCGGTGAGCCGCTTCACGTGCTGAAGGCTTCGTCCTTGCGATAACACTTTCCTAGCCTCTCCGGTTGTGGTGGTGAGTGGCACGCCCTGGCCTGTCTGCTGCGTACTTGCCTGTCCAGACTGCGAAAGCAGCATGCCTTCCAGCAGCAGCAGCTCCTGTTTGGCTACTTCCCCACATGGCGCTGAACTTGCCGTGTGTGCGTGCGTGGCTGTCAAGCTGGTCACGTAGTTGCTAGCGTTGAGCCTATCGGTTGGTCTGTTCGAGTCCATCCGGCGTTCTCTTCTCTTCTGCCGATTGCAACGCAGCCTACCCGCCACTGTGCCTGGAAACAAGCTCTGGTTGTGTGTGGACGGGGCTAGTCAGCTGGCTCTACCCCCTGTCATGTTGGTGATGCTGGTGCCGCTGCATCAGCAGTGTCAGCTTTCCGCTTGACATCTCCCTTTCTTTTACTTTGGTTTGTCGCTTTCTCCTGACCAACCCGCCGTCTATACGCGTGGGTGCAGGGTTGTCATGGATCGTGTTCATCATTATCATCATCATCATCATCATCATCATCATCATCATCATCTTCTTCTTCTTCAGCACGCTCTGCGAATCATGTCGGCCAATCCCACTATCGTTACTATTGCTACCATCATCGTCATCAACCATTAACATCATCAATTCATCATCATCATCATCATCATAATCTGTCTTATTTGACTATCAAGCAAAAACAAGTTCAGCTGATTTCCTCGCTCTCGTCTTTGTTCCCATTGCCCATGTCATTCACCTAATTGCTGTGTGGAGGAGGAGGAGGAGAATGGCCGCATGCAACTGCCCCGTACTGTTCCGTCATGCTGGTGCTGGTGCTGTTTATTTATGAAGAGTATTAGGGGTGTCGTTGCATGCTTGAGAGCGTTAGAGGCCGCACGCCGCTCCTGTCCCCCAGCTGGCCGGCCGAAGAGTTTTCGCCGTGTCAGTCTGGTTGCTATGGCGTCGACGTCAGGGGCGTTGTTGCCTGGGTGATTGCACGGCACGGTGGTGACCCCCAAGTGCTGCCCGCCTTGCCTAACTCGACACAGTGCTACCCTCGCTGGCCAGTCCCCGCGTGTGTGTGTGTGCCATCCGTGCCTCGTCTCATCTCTCTCATATGCGTCTCGTTAGATCGGGCAAGGCTGCTCCTCTAAATGCCTTCTCACATGTCCAGTTTGTCCGGCTGCTAGAAACGACGAGACAGCAGCCAGCATTGACTCACAGGCTCTTGATAATCTCAACCTATTTCTCTCTTCTCTCTCTCTCTCTCTCTCTCTCTCTCTCTCTCTCTCTCTCTCTCTCTCTCTCTCTCTCGTTTTTTCTTTTCTTTTCAGTGCCGATCCGCTCACACCCTGTTGTTTGGGTTGGACGCTGATATTGGCACGCTAACATTGCCTGGATCCTCTCTTTCTCTCTCTCTCTCTCTCTCTCTCTCTCTCTCTCTCTCTCTCTCTCTCTCTCTCTCTCTCTCTCTCTCTCTCTCTCTCTCTCTCTCTCTCTCTTTCTTTCGCTCTCTTATTTTCATCTTCTGTGTCTTCGCACTCCCTTCTCCTTCTTCTTTTTATTCTAGTTATCTTGCGTTGTTTTGCTTGACGGCCGTCTAGTTGTACCCCGGGGGCACCGTGCATTGCTTTGCGTAAGCTCCTGGGTCTCTTCTCAATCGGTGACCGTGGCCATGCAGCCATCATGTCTGTGCATTTTACTATGCTTACCGCGAATACCGTTGCTACGATTATAATTTGTCCTATCTTGTACAGCAGTGCAGCATTGTGTCATGGTTCACCCCGGTCATGGGCCGGCGTATTGTTCTGAACAGACGCTGTGTTCTGTGGGTACCTCGGTGTGTGCGGGGAAGGGGGGGGGGGGCGCATGCGTTTGTGTCTGGCGTGCCGGTAGCAAGCTGTGCGCGTCCGTGGTATGCGTGCATGCGCAGGTAAGGCTTTGAAGAACTTACCGTATGTTCTACAAAGCATGCCCGGGCTGTTTCAATCTGGCTTTGCTTGTGTTGGCTTTGGTCAGTGCTTCACTTTTGTCTTTCGTTCAGGCATGCTTTCCAGTACCGTAAAGTACCGCCAGAGCGCCCCACCATCTCGTCCTTTCATGGCCGCCTTGTGGAGGTGGATTCCTGTCTGTAGGTCATACGACACGGACCTTGTACAAACATTGCACATTGTGCAGTCAATCCGTACCGAGTTTACCTTCGAGCGCCACATAAAAGCATACCAAGTGTGACCTTAGTACACTAAGGTTCTCACATCGCACAAACTTAGTAGCATCCTGCCATACGATGTTCTTCCCTTGGCTGTAAAATCAAGGTGGGGCGCTCTCGCGAGACGGGGCGCTCTGGCGGTACTTTACGGTACTAGTATGCATGCGTTATTCTGCACACTAGATTATTTCTGACTACTAGAAGACATACATGTTCAGGCTGTGTACATGTACAAGACGTCATGTCCCTTCCTTTTTCAGGCTGCACATGCATGTGTGCGTGTGGTGAGTGGCATGAATTAAAAAAATGTATGTAGGTCCACACGGGAAAATGGTAAGTGCGCATGTGCGGCGCGATGTGCGACTGCTGTTCTTGACCGGATAAGCGGTCAAGATCGACTGATCTTGCCTGTTTCTTCTGCCCACTCATTGGCTGTCACCTGGCAACAAGCACGTGCCATGTCTGAACTGGCATTCTGCCAACAAAATTATAAGAAATTTTGCGCAGAACTCCGCGTGTGGCTAAACAGCCACCAAATAATTAATTCTGTGACCATTCTGAGTAAATGTACATCACAAATCTAGGAAAACTGTTTTCCTTTCTCCGCCACATTCCAAGGCGTGGTATACATTCTCTGTGTTTACGGACACTGTGGAGGTCTGCGGAAAAAAAAGATGCAATCACGGACAGAGTGCGTACAGCTTTCATGTGTGATTGCATTATGGGCTGCTATTGAAGAGGAACATCCCGTACTCGCATTCTACTCCGTAGAACAAGGCGGTTCTTATTTTCAATTTTTTTATTTCTTATTTTGCAAGGGAATTCCCAACAGGCGTCCTCGCCTTTTTACAGGGAACCCTTGTTTCTCCAGCCGGTCAGTCTGGGCTACACCGTCTCACAAATCACTGGGCGTGCAGGGGAACTCTGGGAATTGACTTCAATTGAGCTGTGTTGTCAAGGGGGCTCAAACTGGCATCAGGTTGGCATACCTGCAATCATTTCACCGAAAGGATCGTGTCTTGGAGCATCCAATCTGAACTGACTGAAGTCATGCTTCCGGGGCGGATTTTTAGAAGAGAAATTTGGACTAATAATGATTTAATAAATTGATAAACTGTGTAAAGCGAAAAACAGTGCTCGGCTTAGACCTGAGCAAAGCCAAAAAAACAAGGAGAGAAGAAAGAAACAGTTGTAACTTGAAAACATGGAAACCGGTGGGGCACAAGTTATGCGTTAGAGCCCACCATGCAACTGAACACATAGCCTAAAGTTTCGCCAATGACTCGGTACTCAGTGTGTATCACTGTCTAGTACTGAGGAGTAGGCAGAGCCAACATTTAATGGACTATACACTGGGGAGGAATTTTGGCGAGTCGTGAACAAGCAAGTGTACAGGGTGGATTAATTATTATTAAAATGACCCAAAAGGCAATATGCCTGTCGAGGGGTTTATTTGATTGAAAGAAGTTGAACTTCAAAGAACAGCACAACATTGTGTTCCGAACACGGTGTTCCACCACCTTGTAATATGCTGTCAAACTAAAAGTACAGGTGTATTGTACAAAAACAGGTAGGGCTTGACGATTCCTCGAGAATAATGTACACCCGTGCAGCTGGCTGGTTGGCTGGCTACACGGAGCCGTAGCCTGGGGCTGGGCTATGCCAGGACATGATGCCTATGTAACACTGCTACACTGTACAGCATGCAGTACGGTATTGCTCAATGAAATCCAGTCGCGTCACTCAAGCCGCCGTGCATCATTCCGCAGCCCAGTGTTTGCAGGTCTATGGCTGCGCAGGGCCCGGCGCGTACTTGAGTGCCGCGCCTGGATTTCATTGGGCAAGACCGTACGAGTACAAGGCAGGCATGGCATCTCACGTTTCCAGGCCGCCGCTGCACACACACGGGGTGGCGGCACTTCTGCACCGACGGTGCAGCCAACAAGTTAGCTCATACTCATAGCGCTACTGTGCCTTTGACGTGCACATCGATCCTGTCACCACCTGGCATGTCCAGCGGTAGTACGACCCCGCCGGCATGACTCAGCGCTGCGCCCATCTCCAAGAGCAGCCGGTGAAGTGCGTACGGCCTATCGTCCCGCTCGACCGCGCCATCTTTAGCGTCCGACTTTGCAAACACGCGCCGACGAACGTGCTGCATGTCCAAGAGGGAAACGGTGAAGGGGATAGAACCGGCGGGCGATGATGGTGTGGTGGTCGTCGCGGATACATCGAGCATTGAAACCGGCATGACGTGACGCTCGCGCAGGCCAAAGCGCTGCTCCAGTGCGTACGCTACGGACTGGACTACGCCGTCGGTGCGATGATCGTGTGCGTGCAGCGGCGTGGCGAGCAGATGCAGCTGTGGCGGTGGCGTCACCACCCCAGTGTTGTTGATGTGCAGACAGGAGAGCTTGGTCTCCAAGCAGCCGCCGGCCACCTGCAGCATGCCTTGCAGCGTCAGGCCAAACTCTTTAGTCAGAGCGCTGCCGCGGAACCACACGATGTAGACCATGAGCGCCAGGTCTTCGCAGGTCATGGTGCACGCGCTGATCGTCAGGTTCTGTGCGTCCGGGTGCAGGTAGCAGGGCGTGTGAGATTCAAACGCCAGCCTGGTCAGGTTCTTGCAGGACAGGCTGGCCGAGTCGCTGCGATTCAACAGCGGCACCAGCACCTCTTGCAGGCACAGGCGTACGGCATTGACCCAGGCGCGTCCCATCGGGCTCATGTCGTGTAGGTAGTCGCCGAACTGCTGGCAGTAGTGCTGTGCAAAGTCCAGCGGGTAGTCTAGCTGGCCGCGCGCCTTGCACGGGTACACCACCTCTAGGCACTCCGAGTACCAATCGCACGTCTTGCCCGCCGGATGGTAGCACTCCGCTGGCAACACCCCGCCTGTTGTCCCGCTCTCCACCACCTTACCTGTGACGTCATTGTCACGTGATGATCGTGCAGTTGCATCGCTAGCCGCAGTAGCACTCGCTGCTATGAGGAACACCAGCAGAGAGATACAAACCACTGATGTCTCCATTCTCGAAATGGTGTCCGTTCAGAAGTCACTGCGAGGAGATGGGTTGAATTGTTGAATACAAACTGTTTGAAACCACTGCCCCCCTACTCTCACGGCCAAGTATCGGCCTCAGCTCAGGTTCTCCTTTCTGTATACGCCGCTACGGGTTCAGCCAACACTGAATTATTTCGGATTTGTCTCAGCAGCGCAGCAGCAGCAGTACCACCAGCCACCCTGCCGGCACGATAGCAGATCAAGCGCAGTGAGTGGCCGCGACTAGCAGTAGCACTCAAAGTCTTCAGAGTGTGGGTGAGGCGGACGTGGTGTGTGTTCCCATTATTCTCCCTTCCAGCGTCGTTACCATCAGCAGAGACCAGCGACCTACACTGCTTCAGCTAGATGTGGGGATCACGGCATCAAGTGGCGAGGTAAAGCAAAAAATATTATTGTATTTGTCACACACGCATGATCATGATGATTGATTGAATCAGGCAAAGGTCGTACGATATGTACGATGTCGATTGATGTACGCTCGACGCGACGTGTCATCGACTCATCGGCGAATCGTCGCGCCGAGCGAGCGTATGGTGTAGATCTACATGACTATGAACGTTCCGGTACGAGTGATTGTACGGGGTCCGGTCTGGACCCGCCATTCGAATCTGCGAGTGCGACGTGACCTGTCGACAGCTCAGGCCACAGTGCTAGCGCTAGCGCGGCCTGCGCAGGTTTCTGATGAGCGACAGCTATAGCTAGCTAGCTAGCTGCAATTGGGCGTATTTTAAATTTTGAATAGGGCAATCCCCACACGGGCCACAGGCCCTAAGCCTGGCTAAGGCCTTTTTATGAAAATAATAGTCATGTCGGCAGCGCGCTATAAATAATTTTTTATTATAGTGTGAGTGACTATGCCTGTCTACAACCAGGGAGTCGTAAAGTAACGAATTTAGTTACTACCAGGTCTTCGATTCCTTGCCTACAAAGTACAAAGTACAGTAAAAGCCATCTTTACTTATAAAGAAGAGGCACCTGTGACGTGTGTCTGTGTGTTACGCTCAGGCCATCCTGCGGAGCAGCGCTGCCCTGAGCACGCGAAGCGTGCGAACAGTGTAGCTAGCGGCCGCAGAAGCACTGAGCACGCGAAGCGTGCGAATCGTGTAGCTAGCGGAAGCAGCCACAGAAGCACTGAGCACGCGAAGCGTGCGAATCGTGTAGCCACCACCACGTGCTGAGCACGTGTGCTGTTCATGCCACGTTCTAGCCTAGGCCATACAATAGGGCTTGAAAGTGATGACGTCAAAAACGGCCTGGGAGTAGTAAATTGACATCAGATTTCTATTTTGGATCCACTAAGGTGTGACTTTGCTATTGCCTCAGTATGTGGGTGCATAGCAACCCGGTCATGTCGTATGCAGGTGCAACTTTTACTTCGCCACCAGTTGTCACCCCGCCCCCACTAGCCAAATCAGTCAGTTTCACTGGCAACATCACCTTGCTGTGAGTGAGACCGCTTGAAATGTGCTTGGATCCATACAAAACTGGATCCAGGTGGATCCAGTTTTCGAATTTTTCAAATTGTTGCTATGCCATTGCTATGGAGTGACGTAGCACTTTCAAGCCCTATTAAAAAAGAAGAGGCACCTGTGACGTGTGTGTGTGTGTAGGTAGCAGACACGATCAGTACGAGTAGCAGTAGCAGCCGCCCGCAGAAGCACTGAGCACGCGAAGCGTGCGAATCATGTAGCCACCTAGCCTAGGCCATAGGTAGCACTAGCAGCCGCACGAGCGCTGCGGACCACGTGAACCGTTCTCTGCAAATAGAAACATCTGCAACAAAAGGATACAAAAGATCTGCACTGACTGCACTCTGCATCTGATCTGCAGTGAAGAGAGCATCGCACTTTTGTTCGTAATTTTATGAATTTTTTGAGCCGCTTCATCCGCCACCAGGTGATGGACAACCCTGACCAGCCTCCCGAAGGCGTAACAGACGTCCCTCCTTCTCCTTCCAACGATGAAGAACCTCCCTCACCAGGACTTCAGCGGTCTGGCCACCACCACGTGCTGAGCACGTGTGCTGTTCATGTACTTGCTTCACCCGCATGCCACGTTCGGCCAGGCAACGCTGGCCGGGGGTGCTGCTAGTCATATTATAACGAAGTGCCAACTCTAACGAGTTAACGAGGAGAACTCTGTCGTTAAAATAGAAATCGTTATACAGAAATCGATACATACACTGTCCTATTGAGCGTTGAGAATGTGTGAGAGTCGTTACCTTTGGTACACGTAAACTAGTCAATGTTGGGAAATCGTTACAATTATAATTATTATGCGCCTCGTTAGAATAATGGCTTTTACAGTACTAGTACAGTGAACCGTGTCTAAGACGACCACCGCTGTAGGGACCTTCAAAGTGTGGTCCCTGTAACCAGGTGGTCTCCGTATCCAGGGTAATTTGACTGGAAACAGCATCCCTTGGTCGTGGTTTCAGTGGTCTTCTAGGACAGGTGGTCGCCTTGTCCGAGTGGTCGCCTTGACAGGTTAAACTGCACAACAGTCACTGCAGTTATGCCTATGGCCTGAGAGTAGTGAAAGGGCTTTCAGCCTTTCACCACTCCCAGGAGTAAGTTTCACGACCCCAGGCTTTATGCTACAAGGCACCGGCGGATTATGCCGGCAGAAAAATTGGCAGAATTCGGTACTTTTTCTGGTAAGTTTCATGCATGTTTGGTATGTGGATAAAGAAATGGAGCAGAATTCGAGGAATTGCCCGCCTTAAGGTTTGTATGGTTCTGCCAATTTCACTGCTTTTCGAGCAGAATCCGCCAATGCCTACTTTATGCTAGCGCAATGCAGCAACTACAGTAGGGTGTCGATTACTAACTAAACTTTTTCGTTTCGTGAAAATTATCGATAATGCCGGATGGCCCCTAAATAGTGTCCCTGAAGTGCCTGAACAGACAACGGATCAGATTGGTGTCACAAAAAGGATCAGATTGGTGTCACAAAAAGGATCAGATTGGTGTCACAAAAAGGAGACTTTTTTGGCATTGAGGGGAAAGTAGCAAACACGTTTGCACAAAGAAACAAAGTAAAGCGTCTAAACTGCAAAAACAAAGGCAATGGGAAAACTGAGCAGAGTCTAGATCACAATACCTAACTTGCATGATGGGGACTTTGAGTTACCAGGATTTTTTGTATTTTTTTACTTGAAACCATGCACCCAATTCGTAAAACAAGAAAGAAGGAGGAAATGACAAAAACAGCCGGCTAACAAGACATTAACTGAATGGGGTTGCACTGCAAGGCAGCGGTGGCGATGGGGTGCTGCAGACCAAGTCCACGGAAAGAGGATGAAGACTGAAGAGTGTTTCTAACGGTCTAAACGCTGCGGCACATGGGGGGGGGGGGGGTTGAACGTAGAATTGAAAGAGGTAGACACAGCTGTGCACATACCGAGAGTGATCATGAACAAGCTTACTGCATGATACTCACAGTGGTATGCCAGAATGGATGGATGACGCAAGTCCATCAAGGCCAGACGTGCAGTCTGCAAGCCACTGTAACTAGTGCACTGCATTGCTGCACCGTTTGTTCCACAACAGACCAGCGCACAGCACAGGTCAATGCACAGCTACGGAAAGAAAATCGAACATCTACGACAGCACTTCACCATGAAAACATGCCGTTTGTATGCTTCGGAGTCTAGACAGCGCCAGCAGCAACAGCAGCAGCAGCCATGAGCAACGACAGCAGCGTAAGCAGAGCACAGGGCAAGCTGGTGACTGCGTTGCTACGCACGACTATGTGGCCCAGGATCCGGCACATGTGCTCTCGTTCCTGGAAGATGGCGACGCGGATACTGTATGTGCCGTTCAGGAGCTGATCGTAGGTCAGAGCGATGTTGTCCACCAGCTTGTCGCAGTACCTGTGTGTGTGTGTGTGTGTGTGTGTGTGCGTGTAAAAAAATGAAAAATGAAAAAATAGTGATTCACTGGCCAGAAAAAAGCCACTTCAATCAGCTCTGTGGTGGATACCAGGCTAAAAATAAGTGGCGGTCAATTCATCAGCCTTGCAAGCTGTTGAATGGTGTAATCCCAGCACAAGTTGCTATGTCTAGCTGTTCGCTATCATCGCTTCCGCGATGGGCATGTCTGAGGTCTGAGGTGTGTGTGCGTGTATATGTGCCAGCTAGTTCGGTTGGTGGGTACACTTATGTCAGATAGTGTTGGGCCTGTTGCCAACGGGCTCGGCTGCTTGAAGGTGTATTGTTGTACCTACCACCTTTGTTGGTTTCAGGGTTCATATACTTTCTATTTGAAGTATACATACCTGTTAACCATGGACTACTTCTGGCTAGATAAACTCTTGTGTAATCAATGGTGCTAGTGAAGCTTTTATCAGATCCACTCTGATTTAGCCACCCACACTAGTCCCAAGTATTACCTTCACTGGGGGCAGGGGTACCTGCAGTTGGATCCCGGGACGGATACCCTTATGCCGTCAATCCTTTTTCTGCACCTTGTCCTCACCCACTTACTGAGGTATGGTGAGCCCATAAGTGGGATCATTTCAAGTCCACCCTAGTTTGGGGATTTCAGGGGGTGTCGGCCGTTGGGTGGTTCAATGGCCAATTGAGTCATCTTTCCAAGATTCCTTTTGAGTCTCTCTCCCCTCTCCCGGGGAGACCCACGTGACCAGTTTTGGCAGTGAGCAACAAGTACAAGTACAAGTGTGTGTGTGTGTGTGTGTGTGTGTTCGTGTGTGTATATATTATATATAATTATGTGTGTGTGTGTGTGTGTGTGTGTGTTGGGGGCAAGCAGGGAGCACACGCAGTAACATTACCGACAAGTCTCCCAGACTGCATGGAAAACAAACGGTGCGGCGCGACATGCTTTCGGCACATCACAGCATGTGTGGGACATCATGCCATTACCCCCCCCCCCCCCCTCCCAGGAAAAGCTCAGACTGGAGCACATTTTTTTATCTTGCAATATGGCCATCCACAGCCAACCCTGCACTAGTTACGGCTGATATAAGGCGTGAGAAAGAACAAACGGTGCACAACATGCTTCGATATATCACAGCAGGCCATTACAACCCCCACCCCCCAAAAAAAGGTCAGACTGGAGTACGGTATCTTACAGTGGGATAATTTCTCTTGACACGATATTCCGGTATTGTACAAGCAGAAAATTTAGGCGGTCAGTAATTTTGTCAAAGTCCAAAGAAAGGAAGGTCGTCCGGTTGAAAATTTAGTCCGTGGATCGTAAGAGTATTGATAAGCTGGACAAGTCGACACGATGAACTCGGATGGAGAGCCAAGGATTATTTATAAAAAGGAAAAAGGACCAAGGAACTACAAGTTACACTATAATGTCAACTACTAACACCACCAGTTACAAAGCAATCAGCTCATGCGATAACATTGCACGACACTGACCGACGGTACTGACGTTCTACAACTAACTGGCTAACAGCTCTAGCACATCTTGGATGCGCACTCCAACAGCCTTCCAACTTGGAAGGTTCTAAGTTATAGAAATAATTAACATAAGGAGGGGAAGGTGAGCGCAACCAAGATAAGCACGAGCTGAAAGTCTCAGCTGTGAAGGACGTTGGTGGATGTTCATGCATGTCGATGACGATACTGGCAAGACCATTGGACAATACGGTCAAACCACGATTCAAGGACGCAAAGCAACATTCCACACAACTTGCGCGGCTCAAAAGATGCAAAGATCAAGAAAAGAGGAAGCTATGCGAACAAGAATCATGCAAAACCGAACGCCTCAGTAAAACAGCACTGTACTTCGACTACAGTAAGATCGGGCGCCGAAGAACGCAGGGGCTCGAGCGCAGCCTAGGAAAGTTCTTAAATTTTTGATTCTAGCCAGACCGTTCTTATTCACACGCGCGCGGCGAGTCGAGTGACATGACGTTTGTCATGTACATGTACATGTACTTCTAAACTAGTGGGTGTCGTAAATGGGAATGACTGTACATGTAGCAGTTACTGTTTACACGTGTACATGACATGTACTCACCTCCCATGCATGTACAATGTAGATCTACGTACAATGTAGATCTAGTGTTCTTAAATCTGATAATTCTAGCCTGGACTGTTCTTAAATTTTGCCGGTTTTCCAGCCTGGGCGTTCTTCGGCGAGGTGTTCTTCGGCGCCCGATCTTACTGTATGACACTTTAGATGGACAATAAGCAGCGGTAACAAGCAGCAGTTTCACACGACGATCGTTTCGCCGTATAGATAAGGACGGCTCATCAGGTGTGCAAGAATGAACATCCGCCAACGTCCTTCACAGCTGAGACTTTCAGCTCGTGCTTATCTTGGTTGCGCTCACCTTCCCCTCCTTATGTTAATTATTTCTATAACTTAGAACCTTCCAAGTTGGAAGGCTGTTGGAGTGCGCATCCGAGATGTGCTAGAGCTGTTAGCCAGTTAGTTGTAGAACGTCAGTACCGTCGGTCAGTGTCGTGCAATGTTATCGCATCAGATGATTGTTTAGTTACTGGTGGTGTTAGTGGACATTATAGCATAACTTGTAGTTCCTTGGTCCTTTTTTACTTTTAATAAATCGACATTAGGGACCATCGCAAAAGTTCGCAGAAGCCCCCGAAACGAAGACCGTGAGTTTCGGGCCTGACCCCCCTCCCTCCCCCCTCAAACGAAACGACATTCACAATATGGGCTTCATTATTTCACTTGGATGCTGCACACATAATAATTATTATAATAATTATACTACACAGCAGGGGTTCATAAACCCTATCATATCATCGGCCTATGAACCCCTGCTACTACTAGTGCTAGTACTACTAGCAAGAGTCCATAAACCACGTGTTTTATGGACTCTTGGTACTAGACTACACACAGTGTACAGGCAGCCAGCTACGCGACACGCGCATGACTACGCGTCCTGACAAGCGATCTACGCGCCGTAGAGTCTACGCCGGCTGTGATGGCATGCTAATCTATTATCAGCTCCTACATGTCGTCAATACTTTTTTGAATTGAAGCCCGGTTTGCGATTTTCGACACGACTCCCTCCCCCCCAAACGTATGCTCTTCGTTTCAGGGGCTTCTGCGAACTTTTGCGATGGTCCCTTAGTTCGGCATTCAAAATTTAGTCGAAAATCTCCTTGGACGAAAGAGAAGAAATTATATTCCTGATGACAGTACTGGAGAGCTTACTCTTTGTCTGACTGGTTGTTCTGGGTGACCTCGGTGTACACGATGTACTCATGGTGGGTAACATTGGCGTCCTTCGCTTGTGCCAGACTTGCATTAATGGCGAGTGTAACGTTCTGATTGCCATGCTGCGACACGTTTAGCACGGTGTAGCCGGTGATGGGAATAGACTTTCCACCAGCATTGGCGATCACTGCAAGACAAAACCCCAAAGGAATCGAGCAAAGAAAACATGAAACATGGGTATAAAGCAGCAGCGGTTGTGGTGTAGTGGTTGATGAGAAAAGGCGAGTGTAGTGTTCACGTCTACCTACGCGCTGTGGCATTCCTTGGCCACTCCAGACATTCATGATGCATGTTGTAGTAGTACAGGTCTGCTCTCGATATAACAACTCTCACTTGTACATAAACCTCGTTAGTACATAAAAAAGTCAAATCCCGCGCCGAAACAGCATCACTCCCATACAAATGTTGTTCTACACAACATAATCCTACATAACATAAACCTCGACATAACACACGCTGCGGCGGTCCCCGACGTGCGCACTCTCGATACAACATAAATTCATGTGCACGGTATGATCAAGCGGTAGCTGAAGCTAGGCAGTTTAGGCCAGTTTAGTCCTACATAACGTAAACTTCGGCATAACGCACCCTACGGCGCAGTCCCCAACGTGTACACTCTCGATACAACGGAGATTCACGTGCGCGGCACAATCCAGCTGTAGCCGTAGCTAGCCAGTTTAGTCCTATGTGCATATATTCTGCGGCATTGATGGTATCTGATGTCGATGGTGGTACAGTGTGTATATGTTTGCACGGTTGAACCCGCCTTGCAATACCCTTCATTTTGAGGTGCATCTTGTATTTTACACACGGTTTTCTACATAACATAACTCTCGATATAACATAATGTTTGCGTGGTCCCAGAAATTGCGTTATATGGAGAGTAGACCTGTACATCGTGATATGTTATGCATGTAGCATGTGCCGTTTCCCGCGCGCGCGCGCGCACGTGAAACGGACTTCGCGGCTTTTAGTTGCTGTGCATGGTTTGACTCTGGGCTCTTGTTGTTTTGGACTGAAGAAGAAACAATACTACATTGGCATTGCGAGCTACTTCGTTCCTCCGCAGCGAGCATGGGTGACCGACCACCCGCCATTCCGCCTCCTGGACCTTTTCCAATTTATGTCTCCCTCTACGATGCCGCCACGCGCTGGCCCGCCTGGACACGGAGTTTCAAACTTTATCTTGCTGCGTCCAAAATTGGCGATGACGACCAACAGCGTGCGCTACTCCAGGACCTGGGAGGAGACGACATCCAGCAACTCGTGCCCACTCTCAACAACACAGGGGCAACATTCCACGACCTCGCCAACGCGTTGCAGGACGAGTTAAATAAACACCAAAACAAAACGCTCCTCAGGTACAATTTCTGTCAGCTTCGTCAACAGCCGAACGAGACTATGGAAGGGTTTCCGTTGTCGTTTGGGAGACCGCGTGAAATGCAGCGGCTTCCCGGATATGGCCGCGGAGAAATTGGCTGTCTTGGACCAGCTGACTATCGGCTGCAAGTCCGACGCCCTTCGGCGAAAACTGCTGGTAATCGATGGCCTCGACTCCGACAAAGCTCTGAAAGCAGCCTGCGCGTATGAGGCCAGCATCACCCATGTACTCGCCATCAAGGACTCCTCTCTGGGCTCTTCAGTGGCTTCACAGCAGGACGCCCACGTCGCTTCCCTGGCGTCAACAGCACCCCAGCCTGCCCATGTGGATGCCCTCTCAGGGTCACAGCGCCACGGCTACGCAGCTGAACGCCAGCCCCAAGCCCAGTGTCCACAGTCTACCTCATCCGTTCTGACCTGCTACCGGTGTGGAAAGCCAGGCCATGCCACATGTGACGCTGCCAAGGGCAAGTTCTGTAGCCGCTGTGGCAAGCCAAACCATTTTGCTGCAGCATGCCGCGCCTCGGACTCCGCCATCCAAGCCCGCACGTTCAGGGAACGCCGTCCCCACCAACACTCTGACCAGCACGCTGTCAACAGCGGCCACCATGCCATTCATTCCTTAGAGATTGGCTCAGAGCTGTTTTCTACCGACTCTCCGCCTCGCCCATCTACGGCACCCTGCCGTGAGGATGCCCGGCGGACCGTGCACGTCAACGGCATAACCCTGACTGTCTTGGTGGATAGTGGTGCCAGTCACAATATCATCAATACTGATGACCTGGCAAAGGTTTCCCCTGGTGCAGCACTTCAGCAAACGGATGTGCAAATCTTTGCTTACGGCTCAACTTCACCTCTTCCTCTTCTGGGTAGCATCACCCTCTGTCTTTCCTCCGCTACCACGAGTTCGACGGCAACATTCCTCGTTGTCGCACACGCGTCACGTACCGCTGCTATCGTTGGCCGCGAGACCGCCATGCGTTTTGGCCTCATCCAGCTGGTCCACAGCGTCGAAAGTCCGCAACTGCCAGACGACCTTGCTGAGTACCCCGACCGCTTCCAGGGCCTCGGCTGCATCAACGACGTAGAAGCCCATATCTACGTAGAAGGCAACGCCCGCCCTGTCGCTCACGCACCATCCAAAGTGGCTGTCCACCTCCAGGAGGACGCGCTCGCTGAGCTCCATGATCAGCTCGCATTGGACGTCATCGAGCCTGCCACTGGCCCCACCCAATGGGTTGCCCGAATGGTGGTTGTGCCGAAGCGCACGGGCAAAGTGCGCCTCACGCAGGATTTTCGTGATGTCAACGCCGTTGCGGCACGGGAACGCCATCCCATCCCCACGCTCGAGGAGATTACTTCCGACATGCCAGGGGCCACCGTGTTCACCGAGTTGGATATGAACAAGGCCTTCCACCAGATCTCACTGGCCGGGTCATCCCGTCTTTTCACCGTGTTCCACACGCCCCTCGGCCTAATGCGGTGCAAGCGACTCGCCATGGGGTTGGCTTCAGCGTCTGAGATCCTCCAGCGGACCATGGACCGTGTCCTCGCGGGTCTCCCAGGTGTTCGCAGCGTGCACGACAATATATTCATCTACGGCGAAAACGACCCAAGTCCACGATGAGCGCCTGCACGCCTGCCTGCAACGCCTACGTGCCCACAATGTTACCCTCAACCTGGCGAAGTGCCAGTTTCGCCAAACTCGCCTGGCCTTCATGTCTACTATCTAGTCGCCGGGGCACTCAGGCTGCACCACACCACAAAGAGAGCATTGCTGTTTTCGCCACACCCAAGTCAGCTTCCGATATCAAGAGTTTCCTGGGTTTGGCGACATTCATGCGCCATTACATCCCTGACATGGCCACCAAGACGGCACCCCTGCGGAAACTCCTTGGCAAGGGTCAGCAGTGGGATTGGTCACCCGAGGCTCAGGCAGCATTCGATGCCATCAAAGTCGACATAGCAGCTGATCGGGCCCTCGCCTACTTCGACCGTACCAAACACACTCACCTTTACGTCGATGCCTCACCCGTTGGCCTTGGCGCCATCCTCTGCCAGTCTCCTGAAGCAGTCGTTCAGGATCACTCCGAGCTGAAACCAGTCGCATTCGCAAGCCGCAGCCTGACCCCCACTGAGCAGCGTTATTCGCAAACGGAACGCGAAGCCATCGGTGTGAAGTACGGCTGCTTGCGCTTCTCCCATTTCCTCAGCGGCGACCCCGGCTTCACGGTTCACACCGACCACAAGCCCCTTCTACAGCTGCTTCACCCGTCTTCACGACCTCCATCCCGCATTGAACGGATGGCTCTCAAGGTCCAAGACCTCCACTTCAAGCTGGTGTATGAACCTGACCCTACCAACCCAGCAGACGTCTTGAGTCGTCACCCTCAGCCACATCCTCCCCTGCCGAATGTTGGTGCGGAGGAGGACACCGCCTATATCAATGCCTTCGCGCAGTCCTCTGTTCCCAACGCCCTCCTCTTGTCCGACATCCAAGGCGCAACTCGAGCAGACTCAACGCTCCAGGCCGTGCTGCTGTCACTGCAGACGAGCATGTGGGACGACAAGGCAGTGGACATCCACCCTTTCTACACGCAAAGGCATGAACTCTCCGCCGCCGACGGTCTCCTGCTCAAGGACCATCGTCTGGTGATTCCACTGTCTCTCCGAGAGTGGACACTTCAGCTGGCCCACTTCGGCCACCAATGCATGACACGGACCAAGCAACGACGGCGCCATGGCAACGGGTGTTTGTCGACCTGTATGGCCCCTTGCCAGGCTGAAGCACACTCTTGGTTGCGGTGGACCAACTGAGTCGCTACCCAGTCACTCACGTGTTCAACTCTACTCCCGCTACAGCTGGCATCCTTGCAGTGCTCCGCAGTGCGTTCGCAGCATTCGGCCTGCCAGGAGAAGTGGTCTCTGACAACGGTCCCCAGTTTCGCTCGGCGGAGTTCAACCGTTTCCTGGCCCAGATGGGCATCGCTCACCGTTGCACGCCTCCTCTCTGGCCCCAAGCCAATGGTGCAGTGGAGCGGATGAACCGCACGATCGGCAAGGTCCTCCGTGCTGCCCAACTGGATGGCCGAGATTTGCGTGCTGCACTTGACGATTGGCTACTCGCATACCGCATCACTCCCCACCCCGCCACAGGCCTGCCGCCAGCTACCATCATGTTCGGCCGCAGCATCTGGGACACTCTCCCCAGCCTGTGCACGGCCCCAGCACCAGATGCGACCGTCACGGCGAACAAGGAGCATGCGTTCCGCGCCCGCCAATGCGAGGCGGCGAACCACCATCGCAGTGCGCACCCGGCTTCGACCATCACCCTCAAGCCGGGTCAACAAGTTCTGCGCAAGAACGAACGGCAGCACAACAAGCTCGACTCGATCTGGGATCCAAACCCATGGACTGTGGACGAGATGACGGGCTCCACCATGGTCATCACCCATCCAGTCACAGGCCAGCGGGTCTCTAGGCATGTGTCATTTATGCAGCCGGCTCCCGCTATAGTGGTTCATGCTCCGTCGCCCGAGCCTCCACTACCTACTCCGCCGCCACCACCGACAACACCACCCCTGCCCCACCGGCGGCGTCAGCAGCCACCGCGCTCGGCCAAGGCGGTCCACAAATATGTCCAAACAGCACGCGCCACCTGATGGATGCGTGCATCAAGTCCACCCTGAATCTCAGACTGGCTTCAGTTTTTTCCCTTTTATCTTTTGTGTGACTGTTTACCTGCTCCGCCTTTTCTATCTGTAGCATAGGGAGAGGGACAGCCTGACATCAAGTCATTTATCCATGCCTCGTGTTTTCAGCTTTTCACTTTTCACCCTACGTTTTTTTCATCTGCTTGGGAGAGATGTAGTGTTCACGTGTACCTACGCGCTGTGACATTACTTGGCCACTCCAGATATTCATGATGCATGTAGTAGTAGTAGTACATCGCGATATGTTATGCATGTAGCATGTGCTGTTTCCTGCGCGCGCGCGCGCGCGCGTGAAACGGACTTCGCGGCTTTTAGTTGCTGTTCATGGTTTGACTCTGGACTCTTGTTGTTTTGGACTGAAGAAGAAACAATACTACAGCGAGAGAAGAACTGAATTTGAAATTTGAACTTCTTGTCCTCCCTTTTATGCAAAGACAATTTATAATCGTAGAAGTACAAGTCATTGCGAATGGTGGAGGAAAGCAGGGGACGGAACAAGATTGATAAACCAACACGTGTTTGCAGATGGATGGATGGAAGGAGCCGGGAGGGAGGGAGAGAGAGAGAGAAAGAAAGAGAGAGAGAGAGGGAGGGAGAGAGAGAGAGAGAGAGAGAGAGAGAGAGAGAGAGAGAGAGAGAGAGAGAGAGAGAGAGAGAGAGAGAGAGAGAGAGAGAGAGAGAGAGAGAGAGAGAGAGAAAGAGAGAGAGAAAGAAAGAGAGAGAGAGGGAGGGAGAGAGAGTGAGAGAGAGAGAGAGAGAGAAAGAGAGAGAGAGAGAGAGAGAGAGTTAGATAGATAGATGGATTGAGAGAGAGAGAGAGAGAGAAATGGTCAGGCAGATAGACAGATGCATGGAGAGAACTTGAAAAGATATGCAGCCTGGCAGATGGACATACATAATTATTATGCATACGTCCAGTCATGCATATTACATAGGAGTACTGCACACACACGCATGCTTCAGTACACACATAACTTACACATACAGACAAATAGACGGACAGACAGACAGATAGACGGACAGACAGACAGACAGACATAACATAATATAAGGGTTCTAGCCAAAGGGGGGTAGGGGGCGCAGCGCCCCCCTACTCCGTTTGCGCCCCCCCCCCCCCCTGTGAAAAAGTGCCGCCCCCCCCCCCCCTACTCATTTTCCGATTTTCGTGTTTTTTCACGCCATTCAACGAAAATACAGCCGATAGTCACTACTAGAGGGTTCATACAGGCACATTTGTGAGGGGTGATGTTGGAGGTTCACTCTGTATGTTGAATTTTGCATGGCAAGACAATTTTGGACAATGGAAAAAATGGGTCATGGGGTAACTTTTTCCCATGCCCGCCCCCCTACTATATTGACCTGGCTAGAACCCTGAATTTATGGTAGCATAACAGTTACATACATACAGACAGACAGACAGACAGACAGACCGAGACTGGAAGCAGTAGGCATGACAGGCCAGGAGGATAACAAAGTGCTCACACCTGTGACATTCCTTGGCAGTGGGTATGGTGTGTTGCAGTTACTTCCATTGACAGTCGCATGAGGGCAGGCACAGCAGCGCGAAGGATCAAGGGCAGCAGCATTGACAACAGCCATGGCGGTTGCAACTACCAGTGGCAGGGCTGTCAAAACTACTGTAGGTAAAGGTTGCCGCCTCATCGTCGAACCTGTGTGTGTGTGTGTGTGTGTGTGTGTGTGTGTGTGTGTGTGTGTGTGTGTGTGTGTGTGTGTGTGTGTGTGTGTGTGTGTGTGTGTGTGTGTGTGTGTGTGTGTGTGTGTGTGTGTATGTGTGTGTATGTGTGTGCGTGCGCGTGCGTGTATGTGTGTGTGTGTGTGTGTGTGTGTGTGTGTGTGTGAGGGTTTGTGTGACTGTGTGTGTGTGTGTGTGTGTGTGTGTGTGTGTGTGTGTGTGTGTGTGTGTGTGCGTGCGTGAGTGCGCATGTGTGTGTGTGTGTGTGTGTGTGTGTGTGTGTGTGTGTGTGTGCGCACACGTGAATATGCAGAGCGTTAGAGGCACATAAGAGAAAACATCCTGCATCATCTGACCTGACTCATGAAATTCTTGATTGCTACATTGGAGGCATGAAAATACAAATTTATGGGAGTTAGAATTTTAGCCAGGTTTTCGAAATTAGGACAGGTTTACCATGCCAAATGTATGGAGAAGAAGGTCCAAACCCCAGGATTTTAAATTTTTTAAATACTTTTAACCAGGACTTTGGCCAGAATTGGGTTTTCAAAATCGCCAGTGGGACTACCAGTATTCGATTTGAATGGACTGTAAGCTACTGTATATGCAGAGTTGATATCTAGACTGTCCAGGGCATGGTAGAAGACTGTCCAGGGCATGGTAGAAGACTGTCCAGGGCATGGTAGAAGACTGTCCAGGGCATGGTAGAAGACTGTCCAGGGCATGGTAGAAGACTGTCCAGGGCATGGTAGAAGACTGTCCAGGGCATGGTAGAAGACTGTCCAGGGCATGGTAGAAGACTGTCCAGGGCATGGTAGAAGACTGTCCAGGGCATGGTAGAAGACTGTCCAGGGCATGGTAGAAGACTGTCCAGGGCATGGTAGAAGACTGTCCAGGGTATGGTAGAAGACTGTCCAGGGCATGGTAGAAGACTGTCCAGGGCATGGTAGAAGACTGTCCAGGGCATGGTAGAAGACTGTCCAGGGCATGGTAGAAGACTGTCCAGGGCATGGTAGAAGACTGTCCAGGGCATGGTAGAAGACTGTCCAGGGCATGGTAGAAGACTGTACTGCATGCACTGCACGTATGACAACGAGACATGTCGGTATGCACGCACTGGCACAGATGGTTTTGTTTTGCCTGGTGTCAGTCTCCGCCTTGACATGTGACATGCTGTCATCATGCATGAGTGTTTGGCACTCGCCAGATAGCTACTTGTAAGAGTGCGCTCTCGCGAGCACTGGCCCGATGCCGCGCACTAAAAATAGGAAATACTCATCCTGTCGGAGTTGTTTATCTCTCAATCAAAGCGGAGTCAATATAATACCTGATGCTATCAATGCCGCTCTCCATATGCCAACGCATCTATCAACCAAGTGTGAACTGCTATAGTGAAGTTGGTACCCACTGATCTGCTTGCTTTGCATGCCTCTCCACCTTGCTCTCTCCCTACAAGCTCAAAGCAACGAAACGTAGGTGTGTCTGGAGCGCGGTGCGAGTTGGCATCACTGCGATTCGAGCACTGGGCTGTTGTCTTGGGATCACCACTGCCGGGTGCTTATAGTCGGCTAATCCTCGGCACGCTGTTCCCAATCCCATCCTGACTAGTTCCATTCGATGTATAGGGTACAATTGTCCATTGAGTGCCTATGTGCCATAGTACTTCGGGCCAGTCCAGGTTTCCAAACATCAATCTACACAGATACACAGATACTAGACATATGTGTATACTTCTGTAAACATTGTCTGAGAATCATGGAACAAGATGTCATGAAGCACGCTTACATGATATGCCAGTTACATTGGAAGTGTTTGCCGGAAAAATCAATGACTAGATTGAAGTTGGTTCGGGGGATACACGCCACCAGGAGTGTCGAGATCCATGCGGTGTCCTGTGCCATGCCCCCCCCCTCCCCCTCCCTATCCTCTTCCTCCGCCGATTCCCATTCAAAATTCTTTCATACTCAGCCCTTGTAATCCTGTTTCCAACCAAACACATGCCTCAAAGAACATAGCTAGCTGTAAGCAGACGAGCACTGGTTGGAGTTCTCAGTCACCGTGGTAACAGCTTATTCAGGTTGCGTTTGGTTGGGCATTTTCAGAATGTAAATGACAACCATTCTGGAATGGGAATCGGCAAGAATCACCTGACCAAACTAACGCGCCAGAATCAATTAGGAATCACTTGACATAACAATTCCATGATATCGTTGAGGAACGGCTGCTGTCTTTTCTTTTATCCGACTCTAGTTTCCTTGAGAGAGTCATGGTACTTCTGAGTGCATAATTTGAGGCACTTGAACCTGTTGCTACATTGTTTGGCTCGTGGCAGCCATTATCATTTTTGATTCCGGAATGAGAATGCTCATTCCAGCATGTGAGGTGGAATGATCATTCTCCAAAAAGAATCATCAGTCTCAGCGATTCCCATTCTGGAATCATGCGGAATGTGACCAACCTAACGCACTTTTTTGACCAACCAAACGGGCGAAAATGATTCCGAGTGATTCCAAGTGATTCCCATTTGGGAATGTGACCAACCAAACGTAACCTCATTCTTTGGACCAGGATCTTTGCAACTGACTAAAGCTAGTTGCAACAAACGTACCTTCAAGTGAAGTGTGTCAGAGAGAACTCCGCCCAGTCTCCGCAGTGATGATGATGATGATGATCAGCTGGGGACACCGGTTGGAGATTCACCTGTGAGGGGAAAGCGACAAAGACAGGTGCAGGACAGGACAGTTGCAGACTGTTGACTGAACTCTACTGCAAGCCAGCCAACAGTCTTATAATTTAAACTCGAATATCTAGGCTACAGACATGGGGGGGGGGCACATGGCTCATGGCCTGGTAGTCATTGGTGTCATCCGTCCAGTTCCAGCAATACAACACACAAGGCCAGTAGAGGGCTGGGGGAAACGAGAGAAAGCGGCAAGCAATGCAGTGATGTCGGTCGTTGTTCTTTTTGCCGTCTTGGTGCATCGCCAAATACGGAAGGTATGAGTAATGCATGTGAGTACGCTGCGGTCAGGAATTCACTGTTCAACACCCCGGGCAACCAAACCCAGGTGACTGTCGGGGGTGCTTATGGTACAAATCGTGTCATTACGCAATGGGCTTACTGGGATTTCGTCCCTCTGCTGATGGTTATGATGACAAGTGCTGCACGGTCTGCAATGATCTGCACTCTGTAGCACGACTACTGTGCTATGCACAGGGCTACAGTCACAAGTACGTTGTATCAAGAGTACATGAAACATGCCCTCTTGGTTGTATAATTATGTCACTCACGAAACATAAGCCCATCGTGCAATGATGTAATTTGTGCTGCGAACACCGCACACAGCCACCTGGGCATGGTTGCCTGGGGACGTGTTGGACAGTGCATTGCTGATCCCAGCGTACTGACATGATTACTCATGCAATCTTTTTTTAATGCGGAAAGGGCTTTTATCGAACTCCATGACCAGATCATAAATCTGATGACTGGTGTTGAGGTGCTCATGCAGGCTGTTCCGGCTACAAGCCTGTGCCTGTGCCTTACCTAGCACATGATCTCTACTCTGTACAGCACATTAGGCAAATCATACACACTCACACTCACACTCACGGAATATTTCGATTTCTAAAATCCCCACTAAAGGGACAAATCCAAGTAATTAGGTTATGACATGCATGGATCGTGTAAACATGTCATGTGTACCTTTGCACCTGTACCTGGAGGGGGACATCTGGAACCATACTCTGCTCTACCATGATGTCCTTGACATGCCACATGGAGTAGCCATGCAGTGCGTATGCTACTGTCAACTGTCAACAGCAACAGCAACAGCGGGCTGGACATAAGATTTCATGGAATCGTACACAAAATGGCCCTTAGTATTGGGCATGCTCCCAATAACAAGGAAGAGTCTAGAAGGCATTTTTGGGGTCTCTCTGACCACGTGACATTGGATTCAAATAGTGCGTAGCAATCTTCCCTGTGCACTATTTGCTGCACACCTGGACTCAGCCAACATGCACCGCAAGTTGCGCAATCCCTCCAGGGTACGAGGGACGGGTAAAGTCGCAGCAGTGAATTGACAAGTCAACCAAGCATGCAGTCGTAATCGTAGTGAGCTCATTTTCCTTGTGGCTGTCGCTCACTGCAGGTCTCGTTCAAAACACTGCCATGATCTACTGACTCCTACATAATCATTGTTTTGTAGTCGAGTTCAATTCATTGCCATTATGCCGTACATCGTCAGATCTTGGTGCATGTACATGGTCACGTGAAAAACAACAGTACATACATTCACTTACTTCACTAGCCTGGACGGTTTGCTAGCGACCTGACACGTCCTGTCTCTATGGCGGGCTGCCCTTCGTTCGTCGACAGTGCAGTGATACGACGGTCGCGGGAATGGACGCTTGTCGCTGTGTGGTCGCGCCTGGAGGATGCATTACCGGCACGAGTACGGATTATTATGCACTGACTACGGACTGCTTTGTGCAAGATGTCCACCTGGACAGTGGACACCCACCCAACTGCGATCCGCTCATTCAGTACAATGCTTATGTTAGCTCCATCCATTCATTTGGCAGTTATCCGCCCAAAACCTCCTCCAGCGTGTTGCTGATGTTTGCAGTGGAAGGGCCTAGGGATCGAGATAGGACGCCGATTCGGATTTCCCCATGCAGCGACTCGGAGAAGAATTTCAGGTGCTTTCAGCGGCATCATGGTGTTCAACCTTCCACCTCTCGACGAGGCTAAGCACGGTGATTTACCGGTAGATCTAGACCAGCACCAGCGTGAGCAAAGCCTGTACAGGCTGTAGTGACAACTCAGCTTGCCTGGCCGGCTGCCATGACGAAGGAGTAAAGCGCATCTTTGCGGTGCTGCCTGAGGGTGACTGAGAAGCGCAGTGTAGCCACAGTAAATGTTTGTTTTGCTACTGTTCTCTGTCCGCAACGCGGCAGGATTGTCCCTGCCTCGACATCAAGCTACAATCATATACATGCAGCCCCATGCATGTGACAAAAATATTCGGTGCATTACCAAGACTTGGCAAGAGTGCATAACCAGTTCAGTAGGATATTCCGATAACTGATTGTAGTGTAGTGTTGGTAGATCTACGTCGATTGCATGCCGCAAGGCTTCATGTACATGTACGTGTACATGCCATCGTGCCATTCGTGGTGTTGTGCGGTCTTGTCAGCTCACATCGTCGTCCTCTTGCTCAGGTCTGGGACGGTTCGGAGTCATGTCCGTGCAAGTAGAGGCTGAGCGGTGGACCTCAGACAAAGCGGCCAGTACAGAGTCCGGAACTAAATCTGGCTGGTCCAGAGGCTTGGCTTTTTTATGTATTATTTTTTTACTATTGACACAGCCCTACTTTACTGGAAAACAGGTGGAGAACAAAAAGAAACGAAGAAAGGGACAACACATAGGGGATGTAGGGGCGACGTGCTGATGTGCTGGGAGCAACTCAACAGCAGCGGCTAGCTGCAATGTAGTAATGGTATGCAGTGAGCTTCATCACGGACACACTGCCGTGACTACTGACCTCCGCTTTCATTCGAGCGTTTTCGGCGGCAGAGGGCCGGGCCAACCAGACGATTTCAGGACTGATCTTGGGTATTGCATGCATGGTGGTTACATGTACCTGTCACGTATACATAAGTAGTACATTTACTGTACAGTAACAACATGTTAACAAGGGACAGACCATTGCCATCTGACTGAAGAAACAGAATTATCAAGCTTCAGACTCCACACAGTCACAAGCGATGCCTGGGAAGTTTTCCACAAGGAGACTGAGGACTTTCGAAGTTTCGATGGCTTCTCGTCAGGAGGAATGCAGTTAAAAAAAAACTGAAGTGAAATGTTATCATTACGTTCATGGCGGTGGCTATTTCTTTCAGGAGCTCAGCCCCATACTGTGTGAAACATCGTGCTAACACGGAGGATTAGCAAGACGAAATTCGCGTTCGCTCTCCAAGGAGAGTCGAACTCAGTGACGGAATTCGCGTTATGAGAAGGATTAGCAAACAGAATTCGCACATGCATGACGTTGACACGACGTACATTGTGTACAGACAGTACAGCGTGGTAAAATCATGACTGCCCTGACACGAATCCGCGATTCGTGTTCCGTCTACTTTTCCGAACGAAAAATGCGAAAGTTCGCAAATCAGTTCGCGAACTGAAAAATGTTTGCGAACGCGAACGCGAATTTCGTCTTGCTAATTAGGCCTTGGCGGATAATGCCGGCAGAAAAATTGGCAGAATTCGGTACTTTTTCTGGTAAGTTTCATGCATGTTTGGTATGTGGATAAAGAAATGGAGCAGAATTCGAGGAATTGCCCGCCATAAGGTTTGTATGGTTCTGCCAATTTCGGTGCAAAAAAGCAGAATCTGCCACCTTTTCGAGCATTATCCGCCAAGGCCTATTGCTAATCCTCCGTAATAAAAATGTAACAACACCTTTTAAAAATACGTTCCAACAATATTGAGATGCTTTTTGTTGGCTCTTCTGCCTGGATTTCATTGACAGATGCGTTTAACGGTTTTAACCACGTATGCGTTTAACGGTTTTAACCACGTATGCATAGAAAGAATGGCAAAACATGGTGCAACTTGCCAAGTTTAGTGAAATCTAACAAGAGTGCGATGTACATGTACATGACTGTACCCGGCCCACAGCACACCCGCCAACCTTTGCAAACCTAAGATCATGACAATGACATACCTAACTGTTAGGTATGAAAATGTGTACAAATGTAGTCGTGAGGCACACAACAAATGCAGCACTTTTGGGTGCCTATTACCACCCTCTTTGGCCATGTCCTGAGACTAAACGACAATGTACCAGCACGCGTTATGATGACAGCATACTTCGAAAACCCAAGTTCCGCTGCCAGCTGGCGGGGCCGGCCACGTACCACTCTGCCACTGAGTCTGCACCAGGACCTGCAGCGTATCGGGGGGGGGGGGTCGCTCAAGAAACGCGAGGAACTTGAGAATCTCCATGCCATCTCCCAGTCACGACAAGACTGGAAAGACCTATGCAGCAATGTGATAAAAGCATACATCAAAGCCTAATACTGCTTCCACCTGTGGCAGCTGCATGGCCGTTTGGTGTACCATAACATAACTCATTGACTAACATATTTTGTGAAAATATTATCCTGTAAAAGAATAGGAATGTAAACAATATACCTGTGAAAACACAACCTTGAATGCTACTAACACAACCTGTGACTACAATAATCATGAGATCAACCCCAAAACATTTCTTGCAGTTTACTTTCGTAGAGTTTGCAACTTTGTGTTCCTCAACACAACTTGCAGCTTTCTTCAAACATATCCTCAACCTTGGTTCTGTCCTAGATCGTGTATACATACATTCATTGTTTCGTCTCATCATTATGGAGCAGCTTATGCGAAGGCTAGCCAAGCTTGCTTGGCGATGCCAACGCGGAAAAGCCTATAATAATAATAATAATAATAATAATTTTAATATGGCAATAAGTAGGACGAGCTGAAGCGACATGTGGATTACTTTATTTAAAACAATGTAAGCGATGGAGACGATGCAAGAAACAACCTAAAGGGTAAGGAAAAATACATGTAAGAAGAAAAAGGCAATGGAAAAAAAGAAGATGATTCGAACAAGTTTTCGTACAACACTCTTCAGGAATCACCGTTGTACTAAAGAACAAAATGAGAACAAAGGAAATAATATAGCAATCAAGGTAGGGTGACACGATACAATGACAGCACTGGAATATCGAGGTGCGATTTCTCACAAACGTGTGCAGAAAACAAGGGTATACAAGTAAGAACTAAGCGTGACAAGTGTGTATCAGCAACAACAACAACAACAAAAAAGTGAGAACGAATGATAATAATAACAATAATAAACAAGAAGGTGACAAAACACATTTAGGCACAAGTGGCAACAACGTTGCCACACTACACAAAAGAACATTATTTGAACAATTTTAGGGTAATAACACTATCTTTCTGGACACACAAATTCGGCTTATGAATGCGCTGACAAACAGCTTCCAAAACTTGTAACTGCAAAAGATAACCATGACGAGCACGGCACAAAACAGAAAAACAGGAATCAGAATAAGTACGACAACAGTCAGTACTAGAAACCAAATGATTGTATACTGAAGACTTGTTATTACGAGACGGACGCACACAATCTCGACTCACGCGCACACCCTCACACTCACTCTCACCCTCACTCAGCTCACCTTCTCCCTCACTGTCCGGATCAGAACCTGCTCCGTCATTCGCAGCGGTTTGACTCTCCTCCTCACTTGCATCGTCCTGCGTCTTACCTTCACCACCCACACCAACCGTGAATGCCGTTGCCTTCATGTCAGTCGTCGTCCTTTCCGATTGTTTCCTTCGTATTTTTACCGTGAATTCATAGGTCCGGTTGTAATCTGCTGTAGATCTCCGTGGTCTGTCATTTGCTGTTTTGTTTTGTGGATTAGTTTTTGTTGTTGTTGGATGTGAACCTGGTGTTGTTGTTGGATGTGAAGCTGGTGTTGTTGTTGCAGCCATGGTTGTTGGTCTTTCTGTTGAATCCAGCTCTGGTTCCGGTGGGACAAATCGACCGCCGCGGGTGCTCCCCACCAACACAGACCTCGAAGGAGGAGGGTCAGGGGGAGGCAGAGGTGCTGTCACCACTCGAGGCACAGCCCCATGCAAAGCACCCAGAGGCACAGACTTAGGCACACCCGAGGGCTGCACCAATGACGGTTCCGCACGCACCTCCAAAGAGCTGCCAAGCTCAAGCCCGTCCAACAAAGATGTCAGAGGGGGAGCGGCAGACAGCGGCAAGGAACCCGTGTAGGTGATGGGTTTTTCCTAGGCCTCCCGCGTTTGGGCCTCTCAGATTGCGCACTGGGTGGAAGGATGTGAAGTGGAGTGTGTTGTTTGATACGTGCGTTCAGGTGCTGAACAGTCCTACCAACATGCCGACTAGCACAATGTCGGCATTCGAAGTTGTAGATAACATGACTGAGGTGGAGGGTTGGTAGGACGTCCTTCCGCACCGTGAACGCACGCATTGTTGTGAAGACTGGCACAAAATGTACTGCATAATAAGTACGACGGACGATAGACTTGACTTCGTGACACACTTTGATCGATTCCTGCCCCTTCCATGGCAAACATAGATAGACGGGACAGCGAGGTGGACCAATCAGCACCGATTTCGGTTTCTGCTCCATGGACAGAAACTTACGCAACAAGAATTCTGGATAGCCATTCTTCAAGAAAACAGATCGAAGAAAATCGAGCCCGGCCTGCAGCTTACTGGGCGAACAAATACGTTTCTCACGGTCCACGAGATTACGAACTAAGTTGACCTTGTATTGAGACGAACAATATGAATCGAAGGCAATGTACTGACCGGTGAACGTAGGCTTACGATACACAGAAGTCAACATTTCACAGCCAGTCTTCTCTACAAGTGTTGGTGGGGAGCACCCGTGGCGGTCGATTGGTCCCACCGGAACCAGAGCTGGATTCAACAGAAAGACCAACAACCATGGCTGCAACAACAACACCAGCTTCACATCCAAGAACAACACCAGGT